ACTATTTTGTTGGATTATCGTAATGCGTAGTCCGCGGAAGTTATGCTAGTGTAGAAGAGTTCCGATTTTGAGGGGAGATAACTCACTTTTGAAAATGGGGAATACCCAGGAGCAGAGAAGAAGATTTTCAACCACGTAATGCACTTTCACTATATAATCTAAATAGCCCCACCCTAGCATTCGAACCCCTGATTCTGGGGCCATGAATTTCACAATTTTGGTAGAGGCTCAATGCTTATTACAATCATGCCAACAGTTTGACTGCTTGATGTCCAGGAGTAAAGAAGAAGATTTTTAAAGATTACATTAATTTATAGTGGTTTTGGTCCCACCCCTCACGCCCCAGGGAGCAGGAGCCATGAATTTCACAATTTTTGTTCCCCTTCACCCAAAGATGTTATATGCCAAAATTGGTTGAAATTGGCTCAGCAGTTCCAGAGAAGAAGCTGAAAATTTTCAATAGTTCACGACTAATTGACGACGGACGACGACTCAGGTGACCTAAAAATCAACTGTAAAAGTCTTTAAAATTCCCAAATAAGTCAAAATTAATTTGCAGGCGTGGATCCAGAATTTTTTTCATCAAGGGAGGGGTCCACCCCAGTCCCCAAAAAAATCCAACCCTTGAAATTTCTTGACAAGCAAAAAAAAAACTAAACTCGCCCAAACTTTAAAAACCTATTTCGTGTGCGTGTGTGTGTGTGTTTGTGTGTGTGGGGGGATAGTCAATGACTTCTAATGCTTCAAACCTTTGACTTTTCATACCAAATTTGCGTTTACCAGGGGGGTCTGCGTTTTCCGAGGAGGGGGGTTCAAAGTAACTTTTTTCTTACTTTAGTTTATAAATTTGATAACCTTGCAAATTCCAGGGGGGGGGGGGGGTCCTGACCCCCCGAGTCCCCACTCTAGATCCGCGCATGAATCTGATTTTTTTTTTTGAAACATTTAAACCAGGATGTGTCTGTGAAACAGTGAAGTTCATGGCGATGATTTATTCTCTGATATACAAATCAACCCTTAGAAGTTCGAAAGTTAAAAAAAAACAAGAAATCTTTGAGCCAATGCTCACTAGGAATACCCCTGCTCTAATGTAAATAAACACTATCATGTTAATATAAACAAGTTCAATTACAGTTAGATGAACAGAAAAATATGAAGTTGACATCAGATTCATATCAAAATTAATCCCACCAAATGGCACGCCTCAAGAAAGAGTGTACTAAAATTTCAAGCATCTGCTATGAATAGTTAAAACTGTGACAAAAATTTGTTATGTATGAAACAGACGCACAGACAAACAGGAAGTTGACATCAGATTTGACTAAAAATGTATCCCACCGTATGGCATGCCTTAGAGAAGATTGTGTTAAAATTTCAAGCTTCTACGATGAGTAGTTGCTGAGAAAACTGTGACGAAAATTTGTTATGCATGAAACGGACAATCGCACAGACAAACAGGAAATTGGCATCAGATTTGACCAAAAATGTATCCCACCGTATGGCATGCCTCAGAGAAGATTGTGTTAAAATTTCAAGCTTCTACGATGAGTAGTTGCTGAGAAAACTGTGACAAAAATTTGTTATGCATGAAACGGACAATCGCACAGACAAACAGGAAGTTGACATCAGATTTGACCAAAAATGTATCCCACCGTATGGCATGCCTCAGAGAAGATTGTGTTAAAATTTCAAGGCTTCTACGATGAGTAGTTGCTGAGAAAACTGTGACGAAAATTTGTTATGCATGAAACGGACAATCGCACAGACAAACAGGAAGTTGGCATCAGATTTGACCAAAAATGTATCCCACCGTATGGCATGCCTCAGAGAAGATTGTGTTAAAATTTCAAGCTTCTACGATGAGTAGTTGCTGAGAAAACTGTGACAAAAATTTGTTATGTATGAAACGGACAGACGCACAGACAAACAGGAAGTTGACATCAGATTTGACCAAAAATGTATCCCACCGTATGGCATGCCTCAGAGAAGATTGTGTTAAAATTTCAAGCATCTGCGATGAGTAGTTGCTGAGAAAACTGACGAAAATTTGTTATGCATGAAACGGACAATCGCACAGACAAACAGGAAGTTGACATCAGATTTGACCAAAAATGTATCCCACCGTATGGCATGCCTCAGAGAAAATTGTGTTAAAATTTCAAGCTTCTACGATGAGTAGTTGCTGAGAAAACTGCGACGAAAATGTGTTACGGACAGACACACGGACACACAGACGGCTAGACAGACAGACGGAAAGAAAGACAGACACACAAAAGTAAAACACGTACTATACCCCCCTCTCCTTCTGAGCGGGGGTATAATTAGTGACCAACGAAAGGTTATCAAAAGTAGATCAAACGTCAAGGTAAAATAATGATGGGAAGGTCTTGTGATAAACACAAAAGTGAATGAGATATGAAAGTCCTTGAGTTCCAACCAATTAAAAGTCAAACTCAATGGTCAAGGACAAAAGATCAAAACTTTTGTCATACGTTAACTTTGTATTTCAGGTTGGTAGATAAGTTTAGAAATTAGTTTCATGTTGGAGAAAATAACCTAGCTCACGCGAAAATATAATCTTTAGGGAAAATGTTTATGAGTGGCAGATATAATCCATTTTATTTGAATGTACTCAGAATTTCTGAAATGATTTTTGAAAACAAAAAAATATGGTTGCAATTGATTGTTTTCAAGAAAGTCTTCGATTTATTGACAAAGCCCTCGTATACTGGAGTCTTCAATAACTTTTAATGTCTTTATTACAAATGGGATTATGAGAATGTAAATGTATAAAGGTGTTTCACACAGATTTAATAACAAGGGAAGGCAACGAACTGCATTTTCGTTGTTCATATACTCACAATGAATGATTGGTATATATACAAAGCTTAGGGTCATTTTTTATCTGTTATTTTCTGTATGAAAGATGGTAGTTTGTCCCAAAACAAACCAGCCTTCAAATGCAACATCATTTTTGAAATCTCAGAGGGGAATAAAGGGAGGGTTTGTTTCAATGGTGGGAAAAAGTATTAATATAAGATAACGATGTTCTATCGTTCCTTGCCTGTAGTTTCACAGGTTCTATAGTTTTCATCAGTTTGCATCTCCCATGGTGTCAAGCCCCGAGAAATTTGGGCATGAAAGACGCAGCGAGGGTATTTCAGTGGATTATCTCTGCCTGTTTTTGATAGTCTGTCAATTTTTGGGGGCATATATGTATAATTTAATAACACTGCTCAATGAAAAATTAATCCCGTTGTAAGAATGGTCTTTATATAGTGTAGTGAAGTACATTTTAAAGATGTCTCGGGATGAAATGCAGCAAGAATCGTTTTCTACTATGCACGACCAATTTTACATGCCTAGGCACTTAAAAAATAAGCTGTTTCCCCGACACGTTTTTTTTTTTCAATTTTCCAATATGCATATACAACGCACTGTTTTTATGCTAATACAATATAGATTTCTTGTCATCGATAATTAAGTTAATATCCTAGACATACACATATTTGCAACCATAAAATTCTGGCTTGTAATTTTTTTCTTACTGTAAATTAGCCTTTAGGGCAATATAAAAACACGAAAAAGCATATTTGTGTATGCTATATAGTGGAAAATCCTGATCAAATAAACTCTTGTTTGTTATATTTTTATGCAAAGAATTAAATGAAAAGGGGTGTCTATTCCGGATATTTACGACCAAGATTTAATAAACCAATTTACACAGCCATATTTGTTCAGTTTTAATTAATATTGATGTTTTTCTTTTGAGCATATAACGGATAATTAACACACCAGAACTAAAGGTTTCGAGGAAATTGATACTGGACTAATATTTAAAATTTGGCAGATAAACAGCAGTTTGATTTATTCTTTTCAAAATTGGAATTGGAAAGAAAAAAATGTCTATTGGTTTATCTAAAACTCCGTCATATCATTTTAATGAAGCCCCGACATTGATTTCCAAAGCGCTCCTAATGTGTTATCGAGCCCTTTGTTCTTGACAATTTTCTTTTTAATTTTCCAGCCATTGCACAGATACGAGAAAATAAATCTGACTTCTCTGATATTTGGGCACATGCATTATTTTATGGGCTGGATAAGGAATATCCAGTGTATCAAAATTACTGCGTAATTTCAACCCCGAAGTCAACGTATCTCTTAAAATTATTGACTTCTGGCTTTTATGAAAAATCATCTCTTGAACCCGATGTTTCCAATGAAAACACTTTTTGGAAAAATTATCACGGAAAGTTTTTTGTTCAATTATCCAAGAATTGTATGATAATAATTATAGCTACATAAAATAAATGAAAACAAAGTGCGTCAAGCAAAAAAAAAACCTAAACTATAGAAATAATATTTAGTGAATATTTCCATTCTATTTGTTTTTTTTTTTCTGTGATATAGTTCTTTGAAAGTTAGTTGACTCTTGATAATTCAACCGTAATGTAAATTTCACCAAGTGAAAGGTCAGGGGCTAAGAAGGCCTGATATGCATGTAGAGTTCGTGTGTCTGTCTTTGTGTCTGACATTAATGGGCGGTGGTCTATTAAAATTGACATGGGAGACCTCGTGTAATTTAAATCCATCAGACAACATTTTTAAAATCTAAATTCTTTAATTTTATTTCACAATGAAATAGAAATATAATTCGCCCGTTGTGCAAATTATCCCACGTTTCCAACTATCGTTAATGCCCTAGCATACTCACAACTAGAGACTTATTCCTTCAAAACTCTCTCTCTCTCTCTCTCTCTCTCTCTCATTAGCAGTATACCCGAAGCTTTCAGGTGACTTTCGCCATCGTTAATGACAGGATCTGCTTTTGCCTTCACTATAGGCACTCTAATGCGATTAATTGAATAAGAGGATGTTGAGATGGCATAGTCGGAGTCGTACGTCAAAATGGATACGATCGTTTGCGGAAATTAAACGCTAATACCGTAAACTCAGAAACACGAATATCGCTAATGATTTCTATATAATCCGATCAATCTTCGATTTTTGAGAAACAAAGACATTTTTAGCCGTGAAAAATAAAAATTAAGATTTTAGAAAAAAATCATTTAAAACGCGCTTTCGGGACTCCTGTGGTCCTTCTTGGTTTGCACATGCGCACGAAAATGAAATAGTTCTCACTATCAGCAGGGACCGGATTATGATAGTGGTTAAAAGCAATGCTCGGAGGACACTTAGAACAGCCCCGGTGATTGAATTATAGAACAAACTCTGGATATTAAAGCAAAATGAAGATCAATATTGATCCGGGTCCGAGAGGAGCTTTCCGATATTGAAAACCATTTAGCGTTGAATGTGGTTTCATTACACACACAGCCTTAAATGGGAGAGGGATGCAGTTATTGCCAGATTTAGGAGGGAAAGTAAACATATGAGATATTCTAGATTACCTTTTTCTTGAAAGGTAAGAAAGCATTAATAACACTATTTTTCAGTGCGATAAATTTTATTTCTCTTGCACTTTTTCTCCTTAAAATAGAAAGTGATTTTGGCTGGAAATCGTTCTGTTTCTTTACCGATTTAGTGTTGGGGAATTCAGATAAGTGAGTAGAAGATATAAATATCAAATGTCTTTAGACAATTAGTCTTAAATTATGCTAGATGTATATTAAATAAATCCCTCTGGTACATGGGATGAAACTTCAATTCCATAGACATGCATGAAGAATGAAATTAAGACAGAAGACAAATACAATATCCTAAAAGAATGGGGAAAATAATAAAAATAGGGAAAATTTTGACTTCTTAAAAATTATATTTCTGATGTTTCTTTCGTAAAGACAAATTCAACAAATGTCAATAGTTCCACAGATGAGACTTTTTACCAGCTGAGAGATATAGAATCTAGAAAGCTATTTCTGTCAGTCGTTAAGTATCCCCATCGCCAGCCCGGCTTTTAGTTTTTTAACATTAAGGGATCTTTCCCTAATGGAACCCTAATAAGAATCTAGTGAGCATCTGATGAGAAGTCAAAAGTAACGGGGCATACAATTTCCGACAACTGAGAACCATGGAGTATTTAGACATATAATTGTCAATATTTACCAATGAATAACCCCCTAAAATCGTTAAAAGCTTCAAGAGATATATTTTAGCAGTTAAGGTATACTGTGGAATCTTTTGGTTTCATGGGGACTCAATTTTTGTGAAATTCGTGCATGAATACCTCTCACCCACGAATTTTAAAACATCCTCCACAAATTAATGAATCTGGATTTCCTTTTGGTGGTGTAAAAGAAAACATAAAATTGCGTTTCGACGAAAATATAAAATTTACGCAATTCTGCGAAAATTGGCACCCATGAATTTTAATGTTTCCACTGCAGTATTTTTTTTTTATTTTGATACAACGACGAAAGCATGTTGAACGTTAAATCTTGCATCATTTATGATGTAAACAAGCAAGCGGTGACTGTTCGTAGCTATAGGGGTAAATGTTCGGACTGCTGGGTTCTGGAACATTTATATTTCCCATATGTCTGTTACATGCATATACTTTCCATGAATTTCCCAAAATAAATTCATCCCAGGGGAAATATTAAAAATATCTGGCAATATCAACTATTCTTCCCATCGATGTACGAATTATCATTACAGGAATTTTATACGAATTAGTAGTGCTCAAGAGGCGTCGCGCCGAGAATACCAAGGGAACATAAAACGAAATTAGCAACGGAGAAATCGCAGTTTCTCATGCATTAGAGGAAAGAAGATGTATTTGTCAATGAAAATGGGCATCTAAAATGGAATTTTGAGACATCAAACACAACATGTGAATTTTGTAACATTCGATTTTATTTTTTTGTTCATTTTCATGTATCATTTAACTTGCATATATTTTAAAGCAATTAGATATACTATAATACGTATTAAAAAATTTGATGCAAATGTAGAACAAAAGTATATTTTTAAAAATCTATATTAAAAATTTAAAATCTATCAAAATATATATAAAGATCCTTGGATCTCTTCGATAAACCGACGGAAAAAAGTTGTTTTTGATATATTTTTTAAAAATTAAAACCCGTACTTGCATTATGGATTGGAGAAAGTAATTCGACAAAATCATTTTTGCGTTTTCATTTATAGATTTTTGTATGTAAATAACAAAAAAAAAACCAAAAAAACAAAAAAAAAACCCATATACTACTGTATATATCTAAGGCTAAATTGCTGACCAGAACAATAGAACAGTTAGATGGATGTTCTTATATTCTTGCAATTTTTTTGAAAGCCCCTGCAATTGAGTTTTTTTTCTCTCACTATAATTGAGAAAAAGGTAAACTGACATTTTTTGCTGAGGGAAAAAAGTGAACAAGTTGTGGCATATCGATTCGACCAATTTGCTACTTAGAATTAAGATACGATTTTTCAGCTGCTAACTCTCTGATCACTAATTAGACATTATCTCAAGTTTTCTATAATTTCTGAAAACACCGTAAATTCCGGTGTGCATTTGCTATTGAAACTGTATCCGTCATTTTTTGTTTCTGATGATTATTCGTGCACATGAGCGCACATATTTACAAATGGACTCCGAAGTTCTATTTTGTCGTCTGCTTTGAAATGTGACGTCACCCACATTTCTGTTCCATGAAGGTACATGAAAAAGACATATCTTCAAAAAATCACAATTTATGGATGAAATTTAAATAAATGGATACATCGATTCTGCATTTCACTTTCTTTCCAGAACAAGGATTTCTAACAGAAGCGGAAATGTGTTGTTTAAACTCTCTTATGCATTTTGACTATTAAATATTTTCGTTAATTTGTAAAAATGCTCGTGGTGAGATTACACGAAGCCTGGGGGCTCGAAACATTGTTCAATTTGTGTTTATTGAATAATTCAATTTAAAATCAGCAGAAATTGGCTAATTCTGCACACGAAGGAAAATCAAACCCAATTGCTTAACGCTTTTAAACACTTAATGCTCTGCATTTCACTCGCATATGTCGGCTCTATACGTGATAAATTTACGGCAAACACGTCACATAATTATCACATAATTCAAATGCGATTTCTGGATATAGGATTGATGAAGCACTGGATGGCTTTGTTTTGCTCTAAATTTCAAATTATGCTTTAGGGCAAGGCAAGGAAAGACAGATTCTATGTAAACACTATGACACCAACGAAACATTCATAAAACACATTAGCTATCAATAGTAGCTAGATCTGCAAGCCCCGTAGTCTATCAGTGTCCCTTTAGCCTTTGATTGGTTAGTGTATGAAAAACATGTATAAAGAAATAAAAATGTTACTTTACTAAAGATATGCACCTTTAATGAGTTGTAGAGGTTCCTAGTAATGGAATAGAAAAGGAGCATATGGTCTTGATAAAATTTTTATCATTTACGGATTTGTGTATCTTTATGCACATATTTTGTTCTACAATTGTACCAAGTTACAATGCAGGTCCAAGAGCATTTTGAACGATTGAATTGTATTTAAAAAATATGTTTTCTGTAGCAAGATAATAACATTCGTCGAATTCGAAAAAAAAAACTTTTATCAAAATTCGGATTAATGAATTTTACCTGTGGAATCAGTGTTAACGAAATCAAAACAAAAGGTATTATAAATTTTGAAGGAATTTTAAAAGAAAATCCTATTTCAGTAATCATGGTTACTACGTTAATTCAAATCAAAAATCGATACATTTAATTCTGGTCTTTATGCAAGTGTTCTACCTATGTGCAAAATTTCATTTAAATCTGAAAACTAAAGTAGGAAAAATCATTTTGAAAAATTACTCAGTCAAACAGGCAGACAGAAGGACGACAGAGATACGTGACCGTCGCATTAGCTCCTCTGTAACCAAAAGAGCTGAATAACAAACGTTTTACTTTGCAATTTTCAATTAGCATTGTTTGAATTTAAATTAAAATTTATCTTTCTTAAAATTGCAACACAAATTGAAACCAAAGTTCTACAAGCAAGTCCTGCAATTTAATCAGTTTTCGGTTTATTTCACTAACGTGGCTTGATTGCAAGACACGTCGAGACAACGTTTTTTCTTTATTAAGTAATCGAAAGCCTTCAATTGGTCTCGTTTTTTTTTTTTACCAATAATGAAGTATAGTCTTGTACGTACCATTTTCCCAAACTAAGTAAGGAAGGACCCGTATTTTTCATTAGCATGTGCACAACTTTAAAGAGAAATGGAAGTATAATTGTCTTACTAATTAAATCTCTTGATTAGTCTGGTTAGTTATATATCGCCAGAGGTGATGGAGAAAATTAGAAATGATAGCTACTTCAAGTTTATTGAGTTCACAATTCAGAAACCTGTATGAATGGGAATGATCACACAGTCACCTACGGAAGCATTTAATAGTCGTGAAAACTACTAAATCTGAGTTCGGACAGTCAAAGTGATTGTTTGTTGTTTAAAGTCCCTCTCGAGAATATTTGATATGAAAATGCCACCACATGCCGTTGGAGAGCCGCAAATTTTGATCTATACTCGGCACTCAAGGCCATTTAGCAGTAAGGGATCTTTTACGCGCCAGCATCTACTGCGACATGGGACCTCGGTTTATACGATCCAACAGTGGGATTCGAACCCGCGACGTAACGAGCAAACGTTCTACCACTGCGCCACACGGGCGACTACAGTCAAAATGTAAAACTGAATATAGATGCGACAAGCGTGTCTATACTTTTTGATTCCAACTATTCAACACAAACCTTTTTCTTATTCAATTTTTCTAGGAACCTCTTCGTGCTCACATGCTTTTCCACATTATGCGTCCTAGTCATGCAACATAAAATTTAACTTCTATAAGTTTTGATATTAAAATAGTTTCATTGTACAAATTTGTATGCATTTCTTTCGGTCATCGTAAATGATTCGTGGGAAAATTGGCACGGTCAGATCTACAAATAGCTTCCATGACCTGAACATCTGTTAAGTTTGTCACATTACAAGTATTACTGAAAAAAAATCTTTGTATATATAGATAAGACATTAAATTTCTTTTAAACAAAAATATAGTTTAGTTCTGTCAAAGTACTTCAGAAAAAAAATCTATGTCATGAGGCATAGTCAACATGAAAATATAATATATTTAGTTAAGCAGAAGAAACTATTCTACTGGAATGTGTTGTCGTTACAAGAAAGCATGACAATGCTCTCAACTGAACAATCCTACTAAGACTTAAACAACAGCGAACAACCAATACCAGTCAACCGCTACACCAGATTTCTTAATACCTTTTCCCAAGTCTGTCAATTAACATCCTAGGTGATATGGAAAAATTTAATCTTTCTTTTTGTGTCCTAGGATTAATATCTCGCGTTTCGTGAGGGATTAGCAAATAAAGTTTTCCTGTGTTATGGAAAGCAATTATTTGATGGACTTTTTGTCGTGCGCTGTACACTTATTGCATTTAACATCTTACTCTGGGAAGCAGCAATGTTTCCGATCCGGCCTAATCATGTCAATTAAGAATTCGTTAGTGAAAATGTACGCGCGTTATTTCAGTCGACAGGACAGCTTAGATCCTTGTTAATCAATAAGAAGGCGAGAAGAAGATCTTGTTTGTCAAATCAAAGTGACATCAATTGCTTGATCTTATTGATTCATTACGGGTGAAACAGAAATACCAGCTAACCAGAGTCCATGCTTTTCTAAGAAATGTCGTTCCAAGTTGACATCGAGTATCCGTTTTGGTTGCTGAGGAAACAAAAAGGACTCGGGGTCTCTATCATGTCAAAAAAATAATTAAACAGATTCCTTCATTATGTGTGTGTAATCAGCATGCTTTGAAAAATGTTAATGCCACTAAAAGAGGAATTGTCCTAGGTACAAATCTCTATGTAGCATTCGATGCAATGTACAAAAAAAAAACCTCGGAAATCTGTAGTAAATGAAGCCTATATCCTTGATTCGTGTATTAAATTCATTTTCAAATAAAATACAGACAACATTTGTGTCAATGTTTCGAAGGACAAGAAGAAACGTGATTAAGCATTACCTTTGACAGCTGCATGCATTCCTATTCAATACAACAAGGTGGTTACTATGTGGATGGGGGAAGAACTTATAAAATCTTAAACAGTTATTCATTCTTATGAACTATTTTTAATGAAAACAATCTGTAATGAATACAATCGATAACAATAGACACGTCGATTATCTGAAAATCTCTGCAACTTTGAACGTACGCTGCAACAAATGACGGAAACCAAGCATTTTTATCTCAAAAACCCTGGCAAACCTAAATCCCGTGGGTGCATCAATAATTGATAAACGCATCATACACACTCTCAATCGTTGATTACTGTGTGTTCTTTATCTAATGCTTCTTTATCAAATATTAAAGTACCCTCCAAGTGAATAGTACTCCATGAACGTTAGCACGCGACTCACAAAAGACACCTCAAATCGGAGGCACTAAAGCAGACGTTAAGTAGTTCCTGGCCATAGAAGAGAGAGGGGGAAGGATCGCTATAATCTTTTCCTCCGATAACTGTTCAATAATTAGAACACACTTGTAATATTTCGGTCACAATAAGAGGATGCGTCATTCGGGGTAGTCGGATGGGATGCAAAATTAATTTAGCCACGACGCATTGTTCCCTTACTGACTACAGATATTCAGTCTAGGTTTTGCCATTTAGGGCTCTCGTGGTAGGGATGCATTTTGCAAATAATTTTAAACAGAGTCGTTTTAACCTCATTTTTTTGAATTCTGAAATAAAATTACAATTTACGAAAAGAAATGTGATAATCATCCTCAAACATTTATCGAGATACCCAAATCGGTTAATACTAAATATTTCATTTATATGATTGCATTACCATTTTTATGCCATAACAATGGGGCAAACCTTTCAAAATACATAATATATGTGAATCATAACAAACCGTGTATCAATAAACAAATAATTATAATAACACATAGACCTAAAGATTTGTTTTACACAACATTTAAATAGCTTCTGTCAATAAATATCCCACTGTGCTGTTTTATCAGTTATTGGGTATTGCAGCTGATTAACAATGGTCTGAAAATTTTTCGATAATAAAGACTCCATATTAAAGATTTTTGAAACTTGAGAATGAGAACAATTCATATGGTGTTTGTTCCAAGGATTGCCCTTACAACAATTAAAATCTGAAACCCATTACGTTTAATATCCGCCATTGTAATACACTGAGAAATTTTAATCGAAAAATTTCAATAACGGATAGCTTTCCAACTAAGAAAATGGCGCAAATGATAAATGGCGTGTCTTCTTTTTTTAAATTAAAGAAACACTGAAAACTTTTATCTTTTTTTTCAAACCGTTGAACTTCCTCTTTCTTTATTTCAATTAAAAAGAGATACAATATTGTATCATTGGTGTTATAGATATTCTTCTCTAGATATAAATTTATATTGTTTATTAATTCACATACTGAGTAGTATACCTGTAACTCATAAACACTAGAAATATTTAGTTTTATTGGTGACTACAGTCAACTATTTCCATTTTCAGGAAAACTAAAGGGGTGTCTAAAAATCCCGACAAGAAAAGGGATAGTAAATTCTGGTATAGTTGTTTGTTATTCTGTAGGTAATAAAATTAGTCTATTGAGCGTACTTTATGCATTTTTAGAAGCTCCAGCAATTTTTTTCCCAAACTATAAAGGAAAATTCCAAGGTGGGATTATTAAAAGGGCAAAATACCCGCCGAGTGTGCTCCTCCCCGAGCTCTTCAAACTAAGTACAGTTCTATGTAATAAATAAATACAGTGTAAGCTTCCAATTTTCGCATGGATAAGACATATAGCTTTCGAGAAACAGCCGATTAATATAAGCATATACCGAACTATTCAAATACAGTACCCCTGAGATCAATGACCAACTTCTATATACACACAAACATCAAAGTACGCATCAACGTCTTTACCTGCAAAAGTCAACAGTTTCTTAAAATTGATGCGAAAAACGGAATTGGGTTTAAAAAAGATTTTCCGTTTTAATGAGATTTTCGTCTAGTTTGTCTCCCGCTCTTAAAAGTTTTGCAACAGGGTTCTTCAGCAACCTGCTGCGTGAAGCGTGCCTGTACTCTAGCATCATGGCAAAACCCGCACGAACGAATTTTAATGTTCTCTTAAACATTCAATCATTAATGTTTTTCTGAAGGTATATTACGTGTCTAGTCTATTTTGATAAGATTGTTCGATATTGAGATCTCGTATTTTTTGTGTGTCTTCAAAAATTAAATGCTTTCCCTGCAAACAGACGGTTGTGTTACAATCTGAGGAATACTAATAACTTAAAGGAGTAAAGGTAACCTTTAGAATATTGATAAATCAATACAAAACAAATATTTCTGATCAATATATGAAGTTAATTTCCATTATTTCATAACAACTATGAGCAAGGCATATGGGGGAAAACAGAGAAGATGAATTTTATTCTTGATAATTGGCATAAATAATTCATTTTAATCAAAGTCGGTATGGGCGTAACAAAGGATGCTTAAAGCTGCACTTGTTAACATTGAAATTCTACGACAAAATTCGAGGCAAGCTTGAAATTTCAAGAGCACGGTAGTTAATATAATATATAAACTTTTTAAATGATCATCTTTTGAAGACTTTTTTTTAACGAATACATTTTTGTACGGTTTTTTCTATTTATGATGGAACAGATTGAGAAAGTCAAAGAATTTAACAAAATTAAGATATCTTCCATTTTCAAATGCTCATTGATAAGAAAAAAATTAAACACGAAACCAAGAATATCTAAATCATCCTCATCCTCAAAACTGCAAGAGCCGTTATCTAAGTTTATATGAAAATCGTAATATCAACAACTGAAAACTCCCTGAATTTCTTGCTACATAATTTGGATTTATCTTTTTTTTTAATTTCAGATCAGTGATGGCGTGGTCCGACACAGTGACGGTTTTAATGTGTATCATCCTCATCTCTTTGCCAACGTTCCTAGCTGACAGAAAATTGTGCACAAAGAGGTAAATTTCAAAGCAGAATTATAAACTTCTGTTTTAGTCAATTTCAAATTGTGAAGATTATTAATAGATCACAGGCTTTTGGACATGGGACATCTTCCCCATAGATGATGTAATCTTTTCAAAATTATTTTTGCAATGTATTTCTAATGATGTTAAATCCATTAAAAAATTAAAATTGCATTCGGCGTATACGTTTTTTAAGGTATAACTACTTATATTTAAATCACTTATAATACATTGTAAAAATTATCTTACAAAATTAATTCTAAATTATATTAAAATGTCTACAGGTCTGTAATAGTCGGGGGAGGGGGGTTTACAGCATTTGGGGGTTGGAGTAGGGTGGGAATGGGATCCTTTCCACAAGTACCCGCAGTGCATATCAGATTACATGTGATACACCCAATTTAATTTTTTAAAAGCAAATATGGTCAGAATTGCTTATTGAAAATATTGATTAATGTGCAAAAGTTATTGGACTTATAAAAAGGTTAAAAGATTGAAAATTGCAACTTTCTAAGTTCTACCATAGCTCCTTTGAATCATTTTTTTGGTTACTCAATAAGAATTAAATTTGAATTGTAATATTTTTAAGACACAAGTTTTAAAGTACATTCTTCATACAATAAAATGATGAACTCCATAAAAACAAATTATACAGACAGACATTTCCTCATGCAAATACCAAATTGGAATTGAAAGACAGAAAGGAAAAAATGAGAGTGATTTATTCCACTAAATAAATCTTAATCCACAAAAAGCTTTTAGCGGTGCATGGTTAATGCAGGAGCAGCATACATAATTCATACATTTTGATGAAGAAGACTGAAATTTTTTTGGTTACTGCTTTGAATTGTTATTACTCTATTTTTCAAAATGAATATCCATTTGGATGCCAACAAGTCTGTAATTGAATATTGGGAATCAATACCAAGTCTTGGAATCTGGAAAATGAAAACAACTGAAAAAAAGAGAGTGTTAGTGACAGATAGCACCCAATCCTTCTCTCTCAAATTTCCTTCGAGGGTGAAAAAAAGGAAGCAATGTTTGGACATAGCAATGACAATTTTTTGTCCAATTCCCAAACTAATGAAAACAGAAATGCAACAATATAATCATCAGTATTTGCTTGTCTGTTGCAGTTAATCTTTTTAAAATCCTTAGGGAAACATTTCTAATAATGCAACGTTAGCGAGCTATGGTTATGTGTAACCTTACTAAGAACATTAAGGCTCTTTAACTTGTTATTCTGTCATTTTCAATTATTGGCCACTCAAGTAAGCTAAAAGCATGAAATGTTTTAGATGTCCCTCGGGCGTCACTGTCTAAACTCCAATATTCTTCTTTCGAATTATACATTATTCAGTCAAAGAAATATTTTGGCAGATCATCTAGATCTCGACATAATACAAATACTGTTGCTATGTGAAATTGTAAAGTGTGGTTTAGAACTCTGTTCCCTACCTCTTTTTTGAATATTAAACCACATAATTACTCATTTCTCTGAGATTGGGATAAATTTATCAGTCATTAATAAAAATATTTACTTTGGTACTTAAAATTTTTAGAGAAAAATAAAAATTCAAATCCTTTCTCACAATAAGTATTTAAATTCAATTCAGCACCTAAATTATCCTCCCAAAAAGGAGATGTATAATTTGCCGTATTGGTAGCATGATTTTCTATACATCACAAATCAACTCAAACATAACTTTACAAACCCAATGTCAAAAATTCTATCCAGTGGTGACAACATGCCACCTATAAAATTTAATCAGACAGTAATTCTTGGATACATTTGTCTGATTCATGACTACATATCACATGCTAGAGCTATGAAAATCATAAAATTCCTCTGTAGTTAATAGGATTATACATCTGTCTGAATAATTCTTCTCAGTTTCATATTCAATCTGCCAAAATATTGATTCTCTGGAGAAATGGAAAATAAGCTGCTAACAGATTTAAAAAAAAAAAAACATATTAAACATTCAGATCTGTGAAGTTCAAAAAGGAATTTTTTATGTGATTTTTATGCAAGATAATATAAGCTTTTTTTGAACTGCATTCTGACATGATATCAGTAAATCTAATAAAGCATCTTGCAAAAGTGATACCACCAGCTGTAATTAAATCAATACGTAATTATTGTGAACTGCGGGATGATAGCGGGTTCATGTCCCCCCTCCACCTCCCCTGACTTACCGAACCCCCCAAAACATCAAACCCAATCTGATTAGACAAAAATTCACAGGATATCTCAACACTTCCTTAATCTATCATCAAAACTGGCATGGCGAAATCACTGATGAATTTTACATGCTGGAATAATTTTATTGATATAAAGTTCACCCTCGTCATTAGTCTTATGATGAGTTCGAGAGTCAAAGTTATGGGGATTAGGGATAAAGTTTGCTATCATCTGATTCTGGCAAATTAGTTCTTCACTGAGCTGGAAAATGAAGAGTAACAAGTTTTATATCAAAAAAAAAGGAGAGAGAGAATGCCTGAACTTATAATGTGCTGCTTTTTTCATCTACCAAATACTGTTTTCATCATTTGATCTTTCAATCAGAAAAAAAACCGGCAGTTCTTTATAATGATTTTTAAAGAAACATGCAAAATCATTTAAATTTTCAAAGAAAAGGCACATTTCTCTCAGAAGAAATTCTAAAGAAATCACAAGAAGCTGCTAAGACAATTTCTAGAATTCAAAAGTCATCAAAAATACAGCCCTTTGCCAACTTTTTTTCAGAATCATGGAACTCTGAACTTGCGTGATAAGAGAATGATATCTAGGAGATTAAGTTTATCAATATGCTGGGAATGACAAAAATTTGTCATCATTTTTTATGTCAAAAACTGACTTCGATCCAAAGCCATACAGATTTCTAACAGATTTACGATGATTAAAAAGATTGATTTTTCTCTGACAGAAGATTTTAATTTCCTGCAAGAATGGCCTCAAAAATGAAATGATTATTTCACATAAAATTTTACAATCTCTCATTCTCTTAACAAAAATTATTGTTAAAGGTTTGTGGTCAAGAAAATAATCCTGGAAAACATTAAATTCCAGGGGAGGAAAACCAGAAAATATAGTTCCTCTCATTAGTCATCTTTGAAAATGACAATTCTCAAGGGGGATTTGACATTGTAATATAATATTGAAATGTTCTCAATCATTTGGAAGATATGGCGAACAAACATTGTATTAATTGTAACCTTGTCTTAATGAAACTTAATAAAAAAATATATTCCCCTTTTTTGTTCAAGATAACGTACCATACACACCCACACACAATTTTCTATCAAGTCAATTAACACAAATATATAATTTTTATCAAGGCGAAATACTGTAGATCACTAGATATTCGTGACACCTTATTTTTGCCAAATTGCCATCAGCTCTCTATTCGCAAGATAAAATTTTCACAAATTGTGGCTTTTGCTCATGCGAGAATGAAATTTTTGAGAGCAAACTATCACACATAATTATGCGAAAATAAAGTTCTTGCAAATAAAAAGTGATTTACAGTAGATAAAAATTTTATGCACACATATAATGATTAATTTTTTTTCTTTTAGGGTTGAGGGAGTGACAACCAAAGTTCCACAGACTCGACGCATTCCTGCTAAATGTTCTAATTGGGACCGAGCCTGGACATGGGTCACTCACTCAGACTGTGGCACCAAATACGAGTAAGGCTTCTGTCATATAAATAATTCAATTCAAAATTTTGCAGTTTTATTACGGAATTATAAATGATAATTTAAAAGATGCTTGGAAAAAAATATAAATAGTGGATTAGTGCATTAAAAAATGCTTTTACATGCAATGATTTTTTTTCTTTCATGTGTGAAAGATATAACATACATAGCCTTAATTATGATATTTTGAAATTATTTCAAGAGAATTATGATGTATAATATGCATGTACATAAGTCCAAAGTATTTTTTACTATTTCAATATTTGCTTAAGTGCTAATTATTTAACATTTATTGAACTATTTTTTAAAATTCAAGGGGAAAATCACTATATGTAACACCAGAAGAAAAAAATCTACCATAAATCCCAACTGCTGTAAAAGATTAATTACGCTGTAATGATTAGTTTGCTTCCTGTTCAACAAATACTCCAATAGAATAGCGTCTTTGCTTTTATGCAATTTTAAATTGAAAAACTGCATTTGATGTTTTGGACACATCTTTGAAGTATGGATCTAACTGCCTTGGTTCTCCTCATGTAAAACATCAAGCAAACAAAAGATTCTAAGGCTGAAGTTGTTGCAATCAAATAACAACATAGGAAGACAAACAGAAAGATGTTGTAACACCATATTTGCTAATGCAGGATAAAAGTGTCTCGTTTATTTTATCCCTCCATTATGGCAGAAAGCAATTGATTCCATTAGTGGAGAATCAAGATCTTTTTTTTCCAGAAAAGCAAACAATGAACTTCTATGTTCCTTGGCCTCTGCCACAAAAGTGTTTGAAAATCTCGTAATAGTACATCAATTTCGTAGCGACAATGGCCAATGAGTAGAGGGATGCTATCAGGAATCTTTAGCCAAATGTCTTTTAATTTGTCATGTGGAAATGTTTAAGGTCATTAATCAAGAACGGAGTCCAATAAATGGGGAGCTATTTATCGTAAGCTGTACAAATTTTATGTCCCGTTATGGAAATTTCGCAGTATAAATTGCCGTTTTAATCAGAGTGATCTGAAACGAGGCAGTATCCGGGATTGTGCTCAAGACTGATGACGACAAGACATACAGATAAAAAAAAAGACGAAAATCATCGCCATTTCTATCTTATATGTTATTCCAACTTTTATTCCCCATCACTTTTTCCATAATGGCAGCCCACCAAAATCAATATCAAAAGTCAACAGATAAAATAAAAAACTTTATTCATTTTCCTCATAGGATTCTAGCAGAAGTTTTAATGGAATTGCGGAACATTTGTATATTGCTCTCTCATGGGATAGATGTGCATTTCTCCTATCAGTGGAGGAAATGAATAAAACACAATAACATATTGGTCCCAGTTCTATCAGCATTCATGGTTACTCTGAGAATTACAAAACACGCTAATTTAATTAATTTAAGTAACATGACTGGACTACCAATAAAGGTTATTCATGCATGGATAAGCATTTTATTCTGCTGAAAAAAAAATGCCAATCAGATGGAAACAACTATGGGAAATTTTCATTCTCGATAATCTCTTGTGTACAATAATGGATTTAACTGCATCCCAGTAAAATTCCTAAAGATACTGATTTTTTTATGAAAGCAGACAGGAAAAAAAGATATTTTAAGAACTGCAATTTGTCACATTTTTTAAGAAATAAAGAAAAAAAAACTTGTTCAAAATAAGATATATGTGGGTGTTGGTTGCCATGGAAAATTGCTAATTTTCATCAATGTTTCAAATTATACATTGACAGATGAAATCCTTGACATTTAAAATTGCTAAAATTCTATAACTGTGCTTCTAAGATTTTTAAATTATATTTTTCAAATTGACTTTTTTTTGCATGAATAGTCCAAATGGAAAAAGTTTTAATCAAAGCCAGATTATTGTTAGATAATGAGTTTCAAATTCATCTTATTAATAAGTACATGTATATGATTAAATTTTATCAAGGTTGTCCTTATGGCCTTGGGGCCAGGAAATCCCCCCCCCCCCCCCCGCCCTACAATAACACAATCCCTCAGTTATTCTTGAATTCCCTCTAACTCCTTGTTAAGGTTGGAACCCCAGACCCCTTCTACATTTTATATTAATGCCTCCTGCTACATCAATTCTTAGGGACAACCCTGTTCATATGGAGAAAAAAATCAAAAATGAAATTGTCATTCATTAAAATGATTGCAAAATTGATGCAAATATGAGAAGCATTACAGAGAATTGATTTCTATTTTAACTTAAATCTTTGACAGGATCACCTACATAGAGTTACCCCAGCACCAGCAGTACAGATTGGTGTATGAATGCTGCCCGGGGGATAAGGACTGCAAGCCTGGTAAGATTTTGTGTACATTTAATTTACTAGATACAGCTAGGACTTAGTTATTTCATGCAACTTTCATATAAAGAGAATTTTGAAGGATGTACATAAAATGTAGTGTCAAATTCCTTACTAAATTTTCTAAGAGAAGTGATAAAAATCAACATTTTAAAATTCTAGGAATAGTTTTACTAAAATCTACATTTTAGAATTCATTTTTCCTGCATACTCTTTTTAATGCACTTATTCTAGAAGAATATATATAATTCTAAGAAATTATTATGCTGCTTATTCTTCAATGGGTCAAATAATAAAGCTATCCTTTAACTGCTGTGTATGCTAATTAAAAAATAAATATGATTTTCGATAACACTTCAATAGTTCTGCCAAGATTGCTTTACTCTGAAACTTTAATTAGAAAAAAAAAAATATATAACTATATAATGTTCCTTTACTTTTTTGTTTTTATCTCTTTCATCACCGGTGTGCCATTCAAAGAATATATACAGTAAATCTTGTCTACTCCAGACATCAAATTGGACATATACTGAATAACATTTCAGATAAGACAACAATTTAAACAAATGAATTTACTAAAATGGACTTGAAGTGTACATCCTTTTAAACAAGATTTCGGATTACATAACATTTGGATTAGACAAGTTTTACTGTATACATGAGAGATGTTTGTTTCACTTCAAACACACAACTCTGTTAAGACAAAAATTACCCTGTAAACAGTATAGAGGTTTATGTATACATAAGTTTTACCAGTTTGTTGTAGAAGGACAAGCTGAAGATGAATCTGATGAGAGATTCCTTGCCATCACGTTTGGATGTGCCTCTGCTGCCTTCATCATTCTAATCATCATCATTGTCATCAGTGTGTGCAGGAAGAAACATTCAGGGTATAGGTCTTGTTATACATTATAATCAAATAAAAAGAAAAAAAAAGAAAATTAGGCACGTTAGTCTTGCATTATCCTATATATTGTCATCAAACACACAAAAAAGGCCACAATTAGGTCACAAGAAATTAATTTCAGTTTTCACAGTTCAAGATTTATACAGGGAACAAAAAAAAAAAAAATCATCTTTACTATAATTTGGGGGGAGGGGGGGATCAGTTTTGAAAGTAAAAAAGAAATTGACTATTGGGAAGGAAAGCAAGATTTGAGAATCAAAAAAATTAATTTGTATGTCCTTGCATGGATACTAATTTAAATAAAGTTTGAGTTTTAGTTTTTAAGAAATGTCCATTAGATCTCAAATTGATATCAGTATATAATCTTTAATCTGAAAGAGATTATTTTATACTCACAGATTCATCTTTTGTCCATACAAGAAGGAATATGAAAATGCTGATGGTATGTTACATATATGGCATATTCTATCTGTTTATAAAAATCTCTGTAATTCCAGATATCTACATGTAAATCAGAATTTAGATTCATTAAACAAAATGTTGAATAATAATAAATGCATAAACCAGTAACATAAAACTTTAAACTTTACATTTGAATGTGGAATTTTCCATTTTGCATTTACATTATTAACTGCTTTAAATTTTAGAATCCCCTGTTGCTTTAGGTTGCCATGGTGAACGCTCTGGACCAAATGACTACATCATTGGAGATATAGGAGAGGACCATAAGCTGGTGATTGAGTCTGAATATGAGGAGATTTGTGACATAAACCCAGCAGCAAAAGAGGCAGACTGGGACAATGTATATCAAAAAAGTCCCTCTGCTCCTCCACAAGAATTGATGGATGAGGGTCAAGAACCAGCACAGTCTTCAACCAATGGCCATGCAGAAAATAGAGAACCAGAAAATGTTGGAATGACAGGCAGTTTAGTTGAAATTGATCAAACTGAGGCAGAAAATGTTACAGCTCAGAAAACTTTAGTACACATTGAAGAGAACAACCAGCCTGGAAATGTGTGTGATTCTAACACCAACAGTGTAAATATTTCTGGAGGTGGATCCAAAGATATTTTGTGTGAAGACTTGAATCAGGACATGCTTGACATTAATCCTCCTACTGAAAGTGACTCTTCTATAGCATTGCTTCAGCCTGTGAAGACAGTGGACCAATGTCGAAGCAAAGACAGTCAGAATTCAGTGAAAGACACGCCCTGTGCTCAAATTTCTATTGAAAGTCTGGATTTAGTGACTTCATCTTCCTTAGAAAATGATCTTTCTAAAAAGGAAACTGTAAATTCATTTGAAGATGCTTCTGTAAGATCAAATGGAGAAAAGGATTCTAGTGATTACAATGGCATGTATGAAGAATTAAAGTGAAAGTAATTTTTTTCAATGGCTACAAATCAGATGAAATCTTTTGTAGCAATGACCCACAAATGTACAAGTATTCCACTCCAAACATGTACCTTTATCATGTTCATTGACAACAAAATATTTCTATTTAGAAGAGTTTTGCTTATATAATTGCATACATGTATTCATGTATAAATACAGAGCATATATTTCATTGATAAATAAATGTTTTACATTAAAACATTGCTGCTTTCTCTTCATACCAACATTATAAGTTACTATACCGGTAATTATCATATAATGATGTACATGCATAAGTAACAAATTTTTAATACAACACCTGTCTTATCCATTTCCCTGTGAAACCTGACCTTTATTTTGATTACCATACTTGTTACTTCCTATGTTCTTTAAAATCTGGCACCCTGTCATTTCTCTTCTAGAGTAAGTTGGATTAGACAGGTTGCACTGTATTCATCTATCAATTTTTTTAAAATTAATTTTAATTGCTATAACTTTCTATACCAAAGTATGTAAAATTGTTGAACTTGTGAAATCAACATGATAATTCAGCAGCATAAAAAAATACCAAAGAGTTACAGCTATCCTCTTTTCCAAGAGAACTGATACCTTGTAAATTATTCTGTACACTTCATAAGAAGTTAAAAGAGGCACTGCTTTAAAACAAAGTATATATTATTTAATTTAAAGATCAAAGATAAGAATGTTCAAAAGTGAACCATCCAGATTCACTAATACCTTGATGAACAAATAGGTGTTGCTCAACTCACCTAAAAAAACAATTTTGACCCTTAATTTTTTAACTAGTACTTAAAAATTAAGTCTTCTTAGACTATTTTAAATAAATAATCAAGAAAATCATTTTCTTTTTTAAAATCTATAATGGCTATTTTATATCTAAATCATCATCCAATTCATAACAACCGTTAGAATCACTAAGTTCTTCTTCTACAACCTCTGGCGTCATGAACACTTTATCATAGTCTACACACTCGGGCCTGACTCGTAACATGAACTTGAGTAACCTGGCTATGTTAATTTGATTGTCCCACTGTTGTAGTCTCTTAAAGTGAGATCCCACTATAAGTCCACTGGCACTTTGGAATTTATGCACATTGTTCATAGTCACACCAGATCCCACTAGAACTGGAATGGAGACACTACGTACAACATCTGTAAAAGAAAATGAGCACCAGTGAGCATATTCCTTCACTTTAATGACATATGTGTAGTTTTATAAAAACACCTGGATGTAAATGGAAGCAAAATGGAAAAAGAATGCAAGAACTATTGGCAAATAAGCATACCCTGTTGATTCATCTAAATTTAAATGTACCAGGTACAACATACATGTAAAAACATACAAGTCTAGTTTACTTTTGCCAAGTTATAAACATGTTATGCATCAATGCTTAATTTTTCTAATTTCTATATCATGTTAGGAAACCTCTAAGAGGAATTCACTGGTAATTTTTTTTTTTACCATGAATAAAAATTCCCCTTGTATCATTCTAAATGTTCCTTAATATAAATCCATAAGTGTAAGTTGTGTAATGAATTACAAGATAACAAGAGAGCATGTATACATGTAGTCTATGGTTGATACCTGTGCATGATTAAAGGGAAAAGTTTTGCACAATTGTAATTTACTGACACACATGTAAAACTAATCAAGAACTCAAATTTTAAAAAGGAGAAATCCATAGTAAGTCTTTATTACTTTGTGATCTCTTGCTCCCAAATCTTATAAATTTTCAAGATACTTGGTGAGGTTACTGATTGAAACATAGGTAATCAGAGATTACAGAGCTCACCTCAACGAAAGTTGTCTTTAAGTAAGGCAAATTAAGTCACACAATTAACCAAAAAAAAGTGTACATCCAAAAATGCAAAATTTATGCAATTTTGATACTTTGGAATAGACCTATATAAAAAGAAAACTAGTTCTTCATCATGAAAATGTAATTAAAATCCAGCATCTGAAGCAAGATTGAGACCTCATCCCCCGATGCATCATTTGTGCAACTTTGGTTTATATAAGCCTTATAGTTTCTTGGTGATAGATGCACCCATAACTTTTCCGAGGTCTATTTCTGGAAAATGTATGGCAGATTTCAGCATCTTTAGCAAGTCCATTAGTGTGCATCCTAAGATGTATCATCCATGCAAGTTTGTTCAACATAGAGCTCAAAGTTACTTGGAAATGAAACCTGTATAAACCAGAAGTCTCTGTGGAGACTGAAGCTCTATTGGTTTGTACTTCAGGAAAGGAAGAGAAAAGTTGGGAACTGAAACTTTACCACAGCAATAAAAAGAATAATGATCCTTGATTAAGTCTCTTTATGTTCTTAGTTTAGTCTACTTGCATGCCACATTATATTATAATCAGACTTAAACTGCAGGAGGAGTAGAATTTTGAGAGTTTTTAACAGAAATTTCTATTTTTAGTAACAACGGCAACACCGTTCATCGAAATCTAAAACTGATAAACAGAATTATATATTTTAGTGTAGTCTACTTGTGTGTCAATTTATATTGAAATCAGACCAAAACTGTAGGAGGAGTAGCATTTTGAAAGAATTTCACAGAAATTTCTATTTTTAGTAACAACGGCAACACCGTTCATCGAAATCAAAAACTGATAAACAGAATTATGTATCTTAGTGTAGTGTACTTGTGTGCCAAGTTATATTGAAATCAGACCAAAACTGTAGGAGGAGTAGCATTTTGAAAGAATTTCACAGAAATTTCTATTTTTAGTAACAACGGCAACACCGTTCATGGAAATCAAAAACCGGTATACGGAATTATGTATCTTAGTGTAGTGTACTTGTGTGCCAAGTTATATTGAAATCAGGCGAAAGCTGTAGGAGGAGTAGCATTTTGAAAGAATTTCACAGAAATTTCTATTTTTAGTAACAACGGCAACACCGTTCATGGAAATCAAAAACCGATATACAGAATTATGTATCTTAGTGTAGTGTACTTGTGTGCCAAGTTATATTGAAATCAGACCATAACTGTAGGAGGAGTAGCATTTTGAAAGAATTTCACAGAAATTTCTATTTTTAGTAACAACGGCAACACCGTTCATGGAAATCAAAAACCGATACACGGAATTATGTATCTTAGTGTAGTGTACTTGTGTGCCAAGTTATATTGAAATCAGACCAAAACTGTAGGAGGAGTAGCATTTTGAAAAATTGTTTACAGACAGACAGAACGGAAGACGGACGGACGAAAGATTACTATCGCATAAGCTCTTCTGGTCTCTGACCACAGAGCTAAAAACTAACCTTTTCACTAATCCAGAAAATGTAGGTCAAATTCAGCTTCTGAAGCCAGACTAGTAGAATGCACCCTTAGATGTACCATCCATGCAAGTTTGGTCATTATAGGGCTCAAAGTTACTTGGAAATGAATCCTGCACCATAAACTTTAACCTGTTTACTCGTCCAGAAAATGTAGGTCAGATTCAGCATCCGAAGCAAGTCTGGTAGTATGCATCCTAAGATGTACCATCCAGGCAAGTTTAGTCTTTATAGGGTTCATAGTACCTTGAAAATGAAACCTGCACCAAAAATTTTAACCTGTTCACTCAACCGGAAAATGTAGGTCGGATTCAGCATCCGAAGCAAGTCGTAATATGCATCCTAAGATGTACCATCCATGCAAGTTTGGTCATTATATGTCTCATAGTAACTTGGAAATGAAACCTGCACCAAAAACTTTAACCTGTTCACTCAACCGGAAAATGTAGGTCAGATTCAGCATCCGAAGCAAGACTGGTAGTATGCATCCTAAGATGTACCATCCATGCAAGTTTGGTCATTATATGTCTCATAGAAACTTGGAAATGAAACCTGCACCAAAAACTTTAACCTGTTCACTCAACCGGAAAATGTAGGTCAGATTCAGCATCCGAAGCAAGTCTAGTAGAATGCATCCAAGATGTACCATCCATGCAAGTTTGGTCATTATAGGGCTCATAGTATCTTCGAAATGAAACCTGCACTAAAAACTTTTACCTGTTCACTCAACCGGAAAATGTAGGTCAGATTCAGCATCCGAAGCAAGTCTGGTAGTATGCATCCTAAGATGTACCATCCATGCAAGTTTGGTCAACATAGGGCTTATAGTTACTCGGAAATGAGACCTACACCAAAAACTGCACCAAAAATGTTAACCTGCACCAAAAACATTAACCTGGTCATTCCTTTGCTGAAATTGCAGCATCTGAAACTTTGACTGGTACAGTGAAACACATTAGAAACATCTTCCATGCATGTCTAATCAATATAGGACACAGAAGTACTTAAAAAGAAAACTGCTCCAAAAAACTTAACCTTAACCCGTGACACCGACGCCGACGCCGACTCCCACTCCGAGGGTATCACATAAGCTCCCCCCAACTTCGTTGAGGTGAGCTAAAAAGTGATAACTAAAATCTTTCAAAAGCTGTGGTGGCTTTTCATGTACTTTCTCTTTTCACAGTATAGTTGAATTCACTATATACATCACAAAAACCCTGCTTCCATTAATATTTTCTACACATTACATTAAAGAACTACATTGTAGTAATATTGGTGTAATTGACTGACCTTGAACTTCTGTGGGGTCGGTCTCCACCCCTGTGGCCGTCCCTGTCACAATGACCCCATCACTCCCAAAAAGTTCAGCAGCCCTGGCTGTCTCCACTAAACTGATATCAGAAGTCACTGCATGGGCACTGGAAAGAATGCTCATCAGTGAATAGAGTAACATGAACATGAAGTAAACATGTTCTCTCCCCATAACACTAATACTATAAGCATGCTTCTGCAAACTCTGCATAGCATTGTTATGATCTATACAAAACTTAATTATTAACCCTGCATTATAGTTTTAAGATCAGCACATTCATGAACATGTATATTTTCTCCATTAGCATCTAAACACAAAGCTTTATCTTTTACTACACCAGCATTACAAGTAAACGTCATGCCCTAGACAAACAACTTGGAAACATTTAACTAAATAATCAAATGACTTAAACCAAATTACAAGCAGCCCAACTATCAAGTCAAGAGTTTTTACTAACATTTCTCATTAACAAAGCTAGGCCTGGGCAAAATTTTACACTTCAATGACCTTGACCTCATGTGCATATACTTTTAATGTTCAAGACATGAAACCCATTTATAGCTATTAATGTGAAAATATTTTCAATACAGTGATAAAACATTATGGATGTTAATTTTCTAAATATTACCATCATCAAAACATGCACATGTACAACAATAAATTTTGCCCTTATATAACACTTTTTGAACAAGGCGTTTTAACACCTGTGTAATACACGTTTGTCAAGTGACCATAAATTGATTGTTTAGTCACATTTAAATAAATAATTAAATGTTTTTCTTTGGTTGTTAGTGCAAGAATTAATGTCGCAGCTGTTGCAGAAAAAATACATAACCCGCATAAGCAGGTTATGTAATTTTTTCTGCAATAGCTGCAACGTTAATTCTAGTACTAACAACCAAAGACAGACATTTTATTGTTTATATTTACATCTGACTGAAAAATCATTTAAAGTAAAATTAAACATGTTAAATATTGTATTGATGATGAATATGTCATTGCATGCTTAACAGATGGAACAGCCATTGTTCAAAGAAATCTGTGCATGTGGCTTGCTTAGTGTTCGTTCATGCACGGATTAATGGCAATGGGTTTTCTTACAAAATAAAGGAGAAAATATTCAAGGGATGTAAATGAAATAAGGTATCTTTTTTTTTTTTTAGGTTTAATGGGATGTAAAACTGGTTGGCACATGATCAAATCTTCCTCAAAGCCCTTCAGGCTCCATGACCAACCCGTTTTACATCCCAATAAAACTCAAAAAATGATACCTTATTTATTACTTGAAAACATTTCGATTTCTTTAATCATTTCACAGATTAACCTACCTATGTTTCTTTTTTATGTCTGTAAAGATTTTGACGTCCTTGGCTCCAATTATCTTTCTATAACGTAGGAGATCTCCCGCGCAGGCATCCATCCAGCCCTCGTCAGCGACGTGGGAGTAAACAAAGCCCTCGGCTCTTATATAGTCCAACTCTGCAAAATATAATTCAATTATTGACATTGAAATACAGCATGTATTCTTTTCATATACACAACAAACTCATGGAGCTTCAAGTCATCAGGTACATGTAATAAATATATGTTTTTCAAGGCATGAAATCTTGAGAGTACCCTGGTATTTGATTCGTAATTTGTGCAAATTATGCCAAAATTGGTTGAAATTGGTTGAATGGTTGCAGAGAAAAAGCTGAAAATGTTCAAATGTTAAAACACAACACACACCGCACGAAAACGGATAGCAATAGGTCACATGAGTTTACTCATTTGACCTAAAAATTTACTTAATGGAAATGCAGTTTGAAAACATAAATATGCCTAGAATCCAAAATCTTTCGCAGAAATGATTTTTGGGGAAATAAAAATGTATATCCAATCATATATATAGCAAGCTTCACTTACTCCAAGAAATTGTGTCACATTATTTATGTGGTCAAGATCTTTGGAGAATAAATGTATTAACACATTGATGTAACGCATGATACCTCTATCCATATAACAAAGATAATGATGAGAATTTTCCTAAAGGGAACAAAATTTGTGATTTTAATTGTTTTTCCACCTTAGGGGCCTTCAAGATTGGAGTTTTCAGAATTCAAGCAATTTTCATAAAGTTTTCGTCTTACTTCTGGAACCTAATTACAGATCAACTTTTTGCAAAATAATGAATGAACCCTTGCTGTTGTTTATCATATCCCCAGGGTCACTGATTCTGGTCTCAATCCCAGAAAAAGTACGTAAGGGTTGCCCGCAACCCTGTGTCTCGCCTGCTGTCGCTGTGGTTAGTAAGAAATGATTGTCTGATAAACTGAAGCATTTAATGACATTTCAGAAGGAATATGTCAAAAATACAATAATAAAGAAATGGAACAGCTGACTTAATATATATCCCTTGGCGATTATATTTTTATATATATATACATATACCCTGTAAATTCACAAATTATTGTGATGTTTTTATTATTGCAAAAATATTGATAAAACGTGTTATGAGTCGCAATAATTTGAACTTGCATTTTGAAATCAAATCCACTGTATATGTATCAAAAATTCATGCAAAAATGTAGGTGAAGATTACCTAATTTGGTACTGATATTGTTGGTTACCCATGATGTGTAGACTTAAAATTATCATCCATTTATAAGTTATTTGCTGAGATAGACCTCCACCATAAATTTATGCAAAGTCACTCATCAAAGCATGTAGGTCAAGTGAATAATTTGGTCACGCGTTCAATGCTTGGTTACCCATGATGTATCCACTGACAAATTATTGCCACTATAAGTTATAGTTGCTGACTATATGGACCTCCACCATAAATTTATGCAAAGTCACTTTGCGGAAAAATGTAGGTCAAGATGAGCATTCACAGGCGTTTGTGGTTACCCATGATGTATCCACTGACTAACTATCATGCCACTATAAGTTATAGTTGCTGAAATATGAACCACCAATATCAATTTAACCAAAGTCATTCATGCAGAAAAATGTATGTCAAAATGACCTAATTCTGGTACTGATGTTGTTGGTTACTTATAACCTGTACAATGACAAATCATCATGCCATTATAAGTTATAGATGCTGAGATATGGACCTCCACCAAAAATTTAACCAAAGTCACTCATGCAGAAAAATGTAGGTCAAGATGACCTAATTCTGGAACGTTTGTGGTTACCCATGATGTATCCACTGACTAATTATCATATCCCTATAACTTATAGTTGATGAATATAGGTCTTCACCATAAATTATCATGAAAAAACTTCCAACTTATTTTTTGTAAATTACGGGGGGAAAAATTTGAATTTTTTTTTTCAAAATCATACTTGGGATATAAATTTTTATCCATACTGAATATTGTGGCCAAATTTCAAGAAGACTGAATAAAATTTGAGAAAGTTATTGCAGTTTATAAAACTTTGACATTTGGGTTAACCAAAAGTTACCGACGACGACGACGACGACGACGGAATCTATGCTGTTGTTTATCATATCCCCAGGGTCACTGATTCGGGTCTCAATCCCAGAAAAATGAAACTGAGCATAATAAATATTCAAACTGATTTCTTTCTTTTCTTGGCAAAAAGTTAATTCCTGCTAACTAAAGAATATTTCAATGGGGTAAGATTGTATGCTAAGAGAGATAACTCTGATAAATGTACAATGTAAATGTCTAAAAAGAATGTCCATTTCAATTATGATCTACCTGTCTTTTGCTATATATGATTTATAGATTCTAATTTTTTTTTCAAAATCTGGGAAATTTTTTACCACAATTTTTATTAATTTTTCAAGATCATCACATTTGATGACTACAGAAAAATGTCACTTGTTTGAGAGAATGGCTTAATTTTACCTGCTGCTTGGGCCACTGCCAATGCCTGCTTGTTGCCGCCTGCCAAAATCTGGATGCCAACATAATTTTTCTGCAACAGAATAAAAAGTATTTATTTCAATGAAATGCAATGAAAAACATGTTGATTTTTTTTTTTCTTCATTTACACCATCTTTAATGCTTGCCCTCTTCCGACTGGATAAAAACATAGGTAATCAGAGATTACAGAGCTCACCTCAACGAATGTTGTCTTTAATTAAGGCAAAGTCACACAATTATCCAACAAAAAGTGTACATCCAAAAATGCAAAATTTATGCAATTTTGATTTGATACTTTGGAATAGACCTATATAAAAGCTTCAAACTAGTTCTTCACCATGAAAACGTAATTAAAATCCAGCATCTGAAGCAATTTTGAGTTTTCATCCCTTGATGCATCATTTGTGTAAGTTTGGTTTATATAAGCCTTATAGTTTCTTGGTAATAGACCTGCACCCATAACTTTTACAAGGTCCATTATCTGGAAAATGTATGTGGAATACAGCATCTGAAGCAAGTCCAGTAGTGTGCATCCTAAGATGTATCATCCATGCAAGTTTGCTCAACATAGAGCTCAAAGTTACTTGAAAATGAAACCTGTACAAAAAACTAACCTTTTCATTAATCCAGAAAATGTAGGTCAGATTCAGCATCCGAAGCAAGTCTGGTAGTATGCATCCTAAGATGTACCATCCATGCAAGTTTGGTCATTATATAGCTCATAATAACTTGGAAATGAAACCTGCACCAAAAACTTTAACCTGTTCACTCAACTGGAAAATGTAGGTCAGATTCAGCATCCGAAGCAAGTCTGGTAGTATGCATCCTAAGATGTATCATCCATGCAAGTTTGGCAATTATAGGGCTCACAGTATCTTCAAAACTTCAACCTGTTCACTCAACCGGAAAATGTAGGTCAAATTCAGCATCAGAAGCAAGTCTGGTAGTATGCATCCTTATATGTATCATCTATGCAAATTTAGGCACTATAGTGCTCATAGTTACTTGGAAATGAGACCTGCACTGAAAACATAAACTTGTTCAATCATGCAGAAAATGTAGGTCAGATTCAGCATCCGAAGCAAGCCTGGTAGTGTGCATCCTAAGATGTACCATCCATGCAAGTTTGGTCAACATAGGGCTTATAGCTACTAAAAAATGAGACCTACACCAAAAACTGCACCAAAAATGTTAACCTGCTCCAAAAACATTAACCTGGTAATTCCTTTGCTGAAATTGCAGCATCTGAAACTTTGACTGGTACAATGAAACACACTAGAAACATCTTCCATGCATGTCTAATCAATATAGGACATAGAAGTACTTAAAAAGAAAACTGCTCCAGAAAACTGAACCTTAACATGGGACGCCGACACTGACACCTATGCCAAGGGTATTACATAAGCTCCCCCAACCTCGTTTAGGTGAGCTAAAAACTTGGGTTAGTAGGTAGGTTAGAAAATTTTTTTTCTCAAAAAATTTTAACATATATGCTGAGAGAAAGGGAAAATTCAGGAATAAAAAGAAAGAAAATAAGTTAATTTCTGGAGGTTAAAAGAAGTTTTGAGTTGGACCATTTTTAGCCAATCTGTCAGGAAGGGGCAAGCCAACATTTTTTTAAAAGATGGCCTATAAACATAATCCATGATAATTTTATTTTCATTTCTATGATTCAAAGCAGAAAAACAAAATTTATGTAAAAGACACTGTATCTAATTGATCCGATAAGGTTGAAATCAATTTTATGAATAAACTGCATGGTCTTTAAATATAATACTAATAAAATATCTTCTTACTGTTTTAAGGGCCTTCCAACAGCTCTTTAACTTAGCACCTCTCTTTGAATTGCCAAATTCTTCCCCAATAAGTTCACCATCTACGTACACTGAACCTCTGAACCTGAAGATAAACCAGAATTGAGAAATTGTCTGACTCCCCTAGGCTTGTAAAGGTGAAAACTGTTAGAAGATATTTTCTTTTGATTTAATTAAGGAATCACTGTCTAGTTAGTTGAGTATGCCAGGGTATCAATGATAGTTGGAAATGTAGGATAATTTGCATAACGGGCGAAGGGTATAATGGGTATAAAGCTAGAAAGCAGTCATATAAATTCCTCGATGCATAGCTACATCACCAAGCCTGAGCTAGGTAGGACTCAGAGAGATTTCCAAAAGGCCCTACTACAAAGATTTGACTTGAACACATACATTAAGGCTTTCAGCATTTGAATCCAACCATGTGATTTGAAAAAAGTTTTATTGAATTCTAAATATTGAAATGATATAAACTGTTACTTTTTCTGATCATCATCCCAAACTGCATCCATTTGGAGCTGAAGATTTTTCTCTTTACAATAAGAATTGAAATGTTGAAGAACTGTTTTATTTGTCAGCTGCTACAAAAAAACGAAGGAGAAAGGATATTTGAAAACAATAAGCCCACGGGCCTTATAGGTCACCTGAGCATTATGCAACAACTTTCCAGTTATTGAATTTGATTCATTTTTAGGCCAGATGCTATATGACATTCACAATTTTGAAAGAGGCAGCATTGATCATCATAACAATACACTTAGCAGTTGCTTAGCTTGGTTACTGAATACCCATATGCAGAGCTGCCAACATTCTGAAATGACAAATAGTAAGGCGGAATCCGGGTACCGCCTAAGCCCCAAGCCGCTGAAGATGTTTTGTAAATGGACATGAAATCGGAGCATTTTGAGGCATATTTCTATTTTATTTTGTTTACTTTAAAGCATTGACATGAATACGATCGGCCTACTAAAACCGAAACAACAACACAAACAAGCGTTGTAAGGATTATGAATAGAAACTGTAGACGGACAGCTATGAGAGTTCCAGTATTATAAACTCTGATCGAGAGAAAAAAAACAAAATCGGAAGAATATAGAGGGAAATCGTAAGGCATATTTTAGATGCTCATTTCGTAAGACTTACGCCAAAATCGTACGGGTTGGCAGCTCTGCATATGCAGGGTAGGGGAACAAAAATGCATTCCAACTAATCAGTAATGCCCCTAACACTGTGACATAAACCCCTGACCCTAGGTCCACACATTGCACAAATTTTAAAAAGGTACCCTTAATATCAAAAAATAAATAAATGTTTTATAAATACAAAGGAGCAGATTTCAAACAATTAATTCATTTTCAGTATATAAGCAGAGCCCCCCCCCCCCCCATACCCCTGACCCTGGGGCCTTGAAATTCACAATTCTGCAAGATTAGGGCCCTTGCTTATCATAACTATATAGGTAGTTCATCTGCTTTATACCCAGAGACAGAGAAGAAAATTTTCAAAGATTTAATGTATTTTCACTATATAATCAATACAGCCCCGCCCTAACACCAGAACCCCTCACCCTGGGGCCATAAAATCCATAATTTTAGAAGAGACATTCTTGCTCATCATAACTATGTACTTAGTTAGTTTATTTAATTCCTAGGAGCAGAGAAGAAGACTTTCAAAGAATTAATGTATTTTCAATATATAATCAATAGAGCCTTGCCCTAACACCAGAGCCCCTGACCGTGGGACCGTAAAATTCACAATTTTGGTAAAAGCACTCTTGCTCATCATAACTAATACTATGCACTTAGTTAGTTTATTTAATTCCTAGGAGCAGAGAAGAAGATTTTCAAAGAATTCATGTATTTTCACTATATAATCAATAGAGCCCCCCCCCCCCCAACACCAGAACCCTTGACCCTGGGGCCATAAAATTTACAATTTTGGTTGAGGCACTCTTGCTCATTATAACTATGCACTTACTTAGTTTATTTAATACCTAGGAGCAGAGTAGATTTTCAAAGAATTCATGTATTTTCAATATATAATCAATAGAGCCCCCCCAACACCAGAACCCTTGACCCTGGGACCATAAAATTCACAATTTTGGTAGAGGCACTCTTGCTCATCATAACTATGCACTTATTAGTTTATTTAATACCCAGGGGCAGAGTAGAAGATTTTCAAAGAAATCATGTATTTTCACTATATATAATCAATAGAGCCCCGCCCTTACACCAGAACCCCTGACCCTGGGGCCATAAAATTCACAATTTTGGTAGAGGCACTCTTGCTCATCATAACTATGTACTTAGTTGGTTTATTTAATACCCAGGAGCAGAGAAGAAGATTTTCAAAGAAATAATGCATTTTCACTATAAACTTATTCAGCCCTGCCCTAGCACTAGAACCCCTGACCCCAGGGCCATGAATTTCACAATTTTGGTAGAGGACTCAAAGCTGATTACAATCAAGCAAACAGTTTGACTGCTTGATGTCCAGGAGTAAAGAAGAAGATTTTTAAAGATTGCATTAATTTTAGTGGTTTTGGCCCCACCCCTCAGGCCCCAGGGGGGCAGGGATCATGAAATTCACAATTTTTGTTCCCCTTCACCCATAGATGCTTTGTGCCAAATTTGGTTGAAATTGGTTCAGTGGTTGCAGAGAAGAAGCTGAAAATGTTCAAATGTTAACACAGGACGGACGACGCACGACGACGGACGAAAACGGATAGCAGTAGGTCACCTGAGTTTACTCAGGTGACCTAAAAAATTGAAGCTTATTCACTGATGAATTTGTGACCAAATAATATACCTTATCAACATATTTTGTAATATTTCCTTGATATAATAAATATTTTTATATTTCAAATGTGAAAATCAGAAATCCTCACAATGTTAAAGTTTTGTGATTTCAAAATGCCCCACAAACCCTTGGAGTTCCAAAATCACAAAAATCATGACACTGTGAAGATGCAAATATGAATGATTTTATAAAAGCATATTATTACCTCTAATCACAAAAACTTACCTCCATATGTTCATCTTTGTACTTTGCCTTAAAAGATATAAAAATTGCTTCATTTATAAACTGAAAAATGATAGCAATATTGTGGTTGGAAATTTTAGAAGTCTAGATTAAACAACCTTACACAAAGCAAAAATATTTACATTGTACATCCAACTCACTTATAATGAAATCACACTTACAGTGAAAAGATTTTTATTCCCTAGCTGTTAGTTTATTAAGGAATGTTTTTAAGTTTTGTGTGAGTTATTGGTGAGTGAATCACACAGACTTATCACGTGGGCATATTTCATAAAGCATGCTAGCGCTTCATGAAAAATATGCCTACTTGCAAGTCTGCGTGATTCACACACTAATAATTTACACTAAACTTAAAAACATTCCTTAAATTTAATTTACATTTTACATGATTGGAAGCTACTAAAATATACTCAATATTTGAATTTCTTGCTGCCCTATATCATTGCATTTGTACTAACATCGTTGCAGCCTCATTGTGACGTCATGTTAACGCACGTTTCTCCATGTATATTTCTACGTGTGAGTACATTGTATACACAAAAATGACTTTCAAATCAATTTCACAGTTGGCTTAGTAGAAAAACACAGCAAATGTAAATATATCAAAATGTCTCAGTTCAGTTGTAATAAATTACAGTGTACATTTATAACAATCAGAAATAGTACGTGAGATTGTCTCTTGCACTTTCAAATTGCTGTTGGTGTCTTAAACTGTACGTCTTAAATCTGAACATGATTTGTAAAAGGAATGTGTCTGCCATGTAAATTGGCATACATGTACACCATTTTTGATATTAATTTCTGTGATCACAGAAAGTAATATCGAAAAATGGTGTATGCCTATTTACGAGTCCTAAGCTTTAAAGTAGATGGACAAGTGACTTACTATTACATGTTTTTGGTCAAGTTTTTCTTCATCCACCAGATTTTCACATAACTGAAGGAGACCGAGTGTTTTAGCCTCGGCTTTAGTGCTGCCTGTTCCCTCTTCTGTTAGACCAGGAAATCTTGCCTTCAATTATATATATGAGATATTCAAATTATTTTCAACTTCTGATTTAAAAGAAATAGATGAGAATCTCATTCTGAGCAACAAATTGGATCTTAATTTCTTAAACACCAATGCCAGTTATCCTTCCTGGCTCAGGAGAGGTATCTGTAAAAGATAATATGAGCATACACAGTAAGTAAATAGAATGTTAACTAAATCTTGGAGTAAAATTTGCTTTACATATGATACATGCAAATTACACTATGTCTACAAAAGGCTTATAGGCCACATTGCTCACCTAAGAACTTTGGCCAATGAAAAGGAAAAATCAGTTCAGTTATCATTTTGAAACTTCAAATATATAAGTGGTACTAACTTACTCCATGGGAATTTGATTTGAACAAACTTGAATCTAAACTATATTGAGAATGCTTCCATATATTTTGACTGCATGATCATGGCTATAAAAGATTTTCTCTAGTATATTTTTATGTAAATAATTAATATCTTATTGTGCCCCTGCTTTATCCCGAAGAACATATATTGATCACCCTTGAATCTACATAATGATGCATGGCTTTCCTGTCCTTGAGAAGAAATTTTTAAAAGATATTTCCTATATATTATCTTGAATTCTTCAGTATATCTTCATTTCTCGGTAAAGTTTGTTGAAGGAAGGTGTAAAATTTGTCATAGAGATATAAATTGTGACCTATATTTAATATTCTGAGCATATCATAATGGAGATTATTCTCTGTGTAAAAGAATGCAAGGCTAAAGTTCCAAAATATTAAATTTAACTTTTATCTCCTATTGTGGCCCTACCAGTTCTTATCCTTGGAAGTCGTGATTTGAAGAAAACTGATCAAAAACAAGAGGCCCATGGGCCACATCGCTCACCTGAGAAGCTTTGACCATTCTGTTCTTTACCAGATTTCCCCCTTGTTATACATAATGCATCCCCACCCTACCCCACTGATCATAATTTAGACATTTTGAAATCTACACTACCCCATGATCCTTCCATGGGCACATATGTTTCAGCTTTTTTGGCCCAGTGGTTTCTGAGAAGAAGATTTTCAAAGATTTTTCCTATATATTTCTATGTAAAACTTTGATTCCTTATAATGGCCCCGCCCTTCCCCCAGGGGTCACGATTCCTACAATTTAGAATTTACACTACCCCAGAATGCTTCCACATAAGCTTCACTTTTTCTGGCCCAGTGGTTCTTGAGAAGAAGATTTTCAAAGATTTTTCCTATATATTTCTATATAAAACTTTGATTCCCCATTGTGGCCCCGCCCTTCCCCCGGGGGTCATGATTTGTACAATTTAGAATCTACACTACCCCAGGATGCTTCCACATAAGTTTCAGCTTTTCTGGCCCAGTGGTTCTTGAGAAGAAGATTTTCAAAGATTTTTCCTATATATTTCTATGTAAAAAAATTGTGGCCCCGCCCTTCCCCCGGGGGTCATGATTTGAACAATTTAGAATCTACACTATACCAGGATGCTTCCACATAAGTTTCAGCTTTTCTGGCCCAGTGGTTCTTGAGAAGAAGATTTTCAAAGATTTTTCCTATATATTTCTATATAAAACTTTGATTCCCCATTGTGGCCCCGCCCTTCCCCCAGGGGTCATTATTGGAACAATTTAGAATCTACATTATACCAGGATGCTTCCACATAAGTTTCAGCTTTTCTGGCCCAGTGGTTCTTGAGAAGAAGATTTTCAAAGATTTTTCCTATATATTTCTATATAAAACTTTGATTCCCCATTGTGGCCCCGCCCTTCCCCCGGGGGTCATGATGTGAACAATTTAGAATCTACACTATACCAGGATGCTTCCACATAAGTTTCAGCTTTTCTGGCCCAGTGGTTCTTGAGAAGAAGATTTTCAAAGATTTTTCCTATATATTTCTATATAAAACTTTGATTCCCCATTGTGGCCCCGCCCTTTCCCCGGGGGTCATGATTTGAACAATTTAGAATCTACACTACCCCAGGATGCTTCCACATAAGGTTCAGCTTTACTGGCCCAGTGGTTCTTGAGAAGAAGATTTTTTAATGACCCAACCCTATTTTTGTCTTTTCTTGATTATCTCCCCTTGCGAGGGGATATGTCCCTTCATTTTAACAATTTAAATTCCCCTTCACCCAAGGATGCTTTGTACCAAGTTTGGTCAAAATTGGCTCAGTGGTTCTTGAGAAGAAGTCAAAAATGTGAAAAGTTTACAGACGGACAGACAGACAGACGGAGAGACGGCCGGACAGACAGACGGACGACGGACAAAATGTGATCAGAAAAGCTCACTTGAGCCTTCGGCTCAGGTGAGCTAAAAAGTAAGGATATCTTCTTGTCTCAAAGAGACAGAAAATAAATCAAGCTTAATCAAAAGATATAATTAAGTTTATGAAATATCTTCTCAAAAAAATTTTAAGCAGAAAAAATACTTACTAATATATATTCATTCCCATCTTTGAAATAAGTGCTGTATGTAACCTTTGATGCTTTGTCCTGTACATCACCTGGCAGTGCACTAAACAAGGCTCTTAACGAGTTCACCTGGAGAAAGAATTAATGTAGCTTTATCCACCAATACATGGTTATCAATTGCATTTACTAGCAGTTTCTATTCTTGTCTTAGTTTTTACATGTATATACTAGAAACTGATATGAAAACAGGTAGTATTAAAGTATCTAAAAATATTTGTAAAGCTTCAACCAAACCCCTTGTAAAGGGCATATTGTTGGGGATTTAAAAATGACCTATGCATAAGTTTCAGTTTTAGTATATAACAAATAACAGTAAATGCATTTATAACACTATAAAAAGTTCATTCATCCTACACTATTTCAAAAAAAAAATAAAATAAAATAAACATACTAAATCATATCCACTAAAATCAAAATGCATATAAAGTAAAAATTGCAAAAAAGTCTTAAAAGAAAAACAAGTTTCCAAATGTATGTTATAAATACAATACCATTTTTTCATGTGGGTCGATACATGCAGCTAGGTTTCTCCTCTGGAATGCAGATTTAGCTGTTGAACAAATTCTGGTCATACAAGCTACAATCTCTGGTCCCATATCCCTGCCCTGGATATAGGGGAGGTCATGCATATTTTCCACTAATATAGAATCCTAAAATAATTGTATGTTAATTCAATGTAAATAAAATAATCAGCAGAAAACTCTCTCTCTCTTTCTCTCTGTTTCTGAACTTATAAGGAACTATTCTAAGTACAATATGCATTTTTCTATAAAGTACTTAATTAGTACATAGTATATTTAAGTCTTATATACATGTACAGGTAAGTGGAACTGTGGGACACTTGATCCCCCCTCCCCCCATTTTAGCCTCCTATATGTGTTAATCCCTGTAAAAATGTTATAATTACAAATTATTATTATACATGTATACTGATGGACTGTATTGATCAGTTATATTGTAAATAAATTGTTATTTTTATTATGTGCAGAGAGGTCCAATAAATTTTCATTTTATGTCTAAAATATGCTTTAATTGAGGCTTTATTTTCAAATGTAAGTGATTATTCAACTTTTCTGATCATACCATACATATGATTAAATAAAAAAATACTTTTAATTTAAATTTTTATTTTGTCTTTTAACATGTTTAACTTTCCATTATTTGACATGTATATTTAACACTGTAAAAACTGAACATAAAACTAAAGAAACTTATTGTAATTAATCAACTGTTTAATTATTTAGTCATAACATGTGTCAAAACACTCAACAATTTATGGGCTCTCAAAAGACAATGCAATAATCAAACGAGTCAACAAATGGTCAATTGTCACAACTCAATCAAGATACTCTGTGTATACACTGGTATATGTCTTTAATTGATTGCTGGGTCTCATTTTGATTAATTAGCACACCTGTCTACTTCCTTTGATGATTATCTCAAAGTCACCTGAAACATGCCATCTCTGTGTATCATATATTAATACAAGGTGAGACAAAGGTGTGAAACTTCTTTTATGATTGTTTGTCCTTTACCTGGGGAGAAATGACAGTCCACTGCAGGTATGTATGCAGATATAATTAACATTTATTTCAAATTTTGTATGTACATGTACATGTTGCTTTAGGTGCTTACTTTTAAGAAAAGGAAGTTTTGAAAAAAGAAATCCAATAATTTTTTTTTATTTTGGTCATTAGTGATTGTTTGATTGATTTTAATTAACATAAATATGTTTAATGAGTAACTTTTCTTACCACTCCTGCATTCCAGTAAATTGAAACCTCCTTTCTTACAAATGATAAAATATTTCTTATCTTATCACTACCTCTGGGAGTACCTTAAAAGATATAAAACTGTATTGATGAATACAAATTTATACATCAAAAATATAATTAAATACATTGAAATAACTTAAAAAGAGTCATATTCATGATATTGTAATTTTATCATTCAAAAGCAGGGAAAATGATAATCAATTATTAATCAATTTCCTTTTTCTATCATGAAAAAGGAAAATGTTTATATGTAGAATATACCATTTATCATGTTAATTAAGCAAAGTTAAAATGTAGCCTTTAATAAAATATTACTAGAATACTTTTTATTATATTATATCATAACTGATCAAATTGGCCGAGTGTAGATAAATTCATAGAAAGGTGACAGACTTAATAATTCTAACCCTTGAGATAAACAAAATTAGTCTGAAATATCCTGATAATTTTTCCACCCATTTTCTTGATGTCCTGATTAAATTATGACTTAACATAGCCCAGAGGTATACTGTCCTTTGGATAAACTAGTCCAATGCAAAAAACATAACCACTTAGAAGACAAAAACACATATATAATAGTCTATGCAAGAGGCATGTTATGTTATTTCTTCTCTGGAAATTTTGTGAATTTGGTCATTTTCTTTGCATATCATTTAATATGACTTGTGGCTTGTCAAAGAATTTCTGGAAGCCCCCCCAAAAATTCTTCTTGTCAAAGCTGCCCCCCCACTTTTAAGTTTGTGTACGCCTCTGAATAGTCTATGATAGTAGAAATTTTGTGAATTTGGCCATTTTTTTACATATTTTTAACTTTTTTTTTAGTGTTGAATGTGTCTCTCTGATAGTAGTTTCTGTAGGAATTTTACTTTTTTTCTTCTCTCTGAATATCTTATCCAGTAGACTTGCAAAGTTTCAGTTGCAAACAATGCAGAGATCTTATTTTTTTTAAAAAAAAAAACATTTAATCGTCGGTTGAAGTTTCAAGATCTATATTTAAATATTTTCTACTCAACAAACCTGGTAAAGCAGGCACATGGATCATCCCTATTATGAAAGGATGATTTTTAGAGAAACGCATGTTTCTACTTTCTCTTTAGTCTGAAAGCTCTGAGGTCAACAAAGTGTATTCTCAATGCGCATGCCGATGAACTTTAACACGTGCATTACTAAAAATATATTCGAGGATTGTTTACATTGCATTCATAATATAAATATCGAGATAATTACTATTTTTATTCCTTAAGATAAAGCAACAGTATATAAATAATGAAGTTTTAGTGATCTAGTTAAATATTCATTCATCATTACTCAAACTTTCATTAAGAAAATTGAATTAATTTCAAAGAATGTTTTTATTGTTGCAAAACACAATGAATTTTTAGCTCACTTTGCGAATATAAAAAACAAACATCTCGCTAATTAATTTCAAAGAATCATTATTATCCATTAAATTGATATGAAATAAGGCAATGCTTTTGGGGTTTCAAAAATATTTTTTTGTAATTTTTTAATGATTTTATTGTACTTCAAACTTATCTTTGGCGCGCATTACATTACGTGGTCGGAAGTCAAATAAAAAGCTTTAAAACTGTTGCTATAACTTTTTAATTACTGGCGTGTAACAAAAATCAGTTTTTAAATACAGTTTGGTAAAATAATAATTCTTTTTGGCATTCCTGCAAATATCCCTTTTCCCACCCGAAAACCGTTGGCGGGATAGCATCGGTAGGGGGCATTACGAGCTTGTCTGTCGGTGAGGGAAGAAGTTATTTGAGATCGAGCTCGACTATTGACTTTGGACTTTTTATGCAATGAATTGATTGGAAGAAACATGTAAGAATTTGAAACTATTTGTCATAATGAAGATTTCAGAGATGATTTTGTCATATTTTCTTGCTGTGATCATTACACCACGATTATGTGTAGGTCGACATTCCACGCCGACGTTGAATGTGCTGTCAACTAGCTGGCATGAATTTTTTTATGATTTTATCGATGTATAATTTGAATGACTTGTTTTTTGAGGGATTTGGTGTAATAACCTAAATCGACAGTTTTTATTTAGATCAAATACTGAAAAGGGTTTATTTTTTGGTTTGGCCTTAAAATGTCCCACTCTTACGGGAAAGTAAAAATTGCATGATTTGCACAATAATTTATCATAAAAAATACTTTTTCGTTAAGAAATGAATATTATTTATTTCAGATTTCGGCGATCGGCAGTTCGGCCGACAACGATGTCGAGAAAAAGGTAAGATTTGCCGCCTACCCCCGCGATTATTCCGCGCGCCATTTTGTTTGTTATGTGATCACCGAAGCGGTTTATGAATGGCTTGCTCGCCTATTTCTGTGATAGAATATGTTATATCTTTCAATTATAGTGCACGATTGCAGTCAAAAGTGAAAAGTGAGGAAGAAGTTTTTATGAAAATCAAAAGGAAAAGAAAAGCCGACGAGGTAGGGGGTTGCAACATTTTTTGAGCGCCCTAGCGGCCATGAACGCCGATTTCTTTGTTCATTCATTCATTCCGGTGTTTGAAAAGAAAAATAATAAAAGTCATTAAATTTTATTACAGGCATTTGAGGAAGATGCTAATATGAATAATCGAAGCAAGCAGTTTAGAATAGAGGTATGCATTTTTCTGTTTATATATTGCAATAATTTTTTAAAGGGGTAAAAAACCGGGCGCCATACGACCCCAATAATATTCTTGCAAATATAAACAAACCGAAAGAAGAAGAAAATTGTGACTGAATTGAAGGCATTATGAAATGTTTTGTTTCTGGGGGTATTTATTATTTGAAAGAAATTGAATGAATGAATTCACAGCTTATCGTGATCCAAGCTATGGTCTTATTCTTAATTAATTTTCAACTCAAAATGCCACTGTTTACAGTTAGAATCCAAGCCAAGAGATTTACTGCAGTTATTTTCTTTCAACTTGAAGTGAAAAACAATTCATATTGCCCAAGTTTCTACCAATAGTTCTGCTGTCAGAAATTAATCCCAATCAAAAACCCTATGAACTTGCGGGGGGGGGGGGGGGGTAGGGTGGTGATGAAAAAAAATTACACAATTTTTTTTTTATTAATTTTTTTTAAATTTTAGATCCAAGAATTGAAATTAATTTTTTTTCCAGAACCAATGGATTCCAATATCAGAAAACTCATCCATAACTACCTGTACCCTAGTGCCAAGTGAACCACTTTCCCCCGAGTCGGACTTAAAATCCTCCCCTTTAACTGTACTTAGTTCCCAGTTCAGATTTAGAAATATTTGCACCCATGCGTGTAGACTGTCCCCCCTGCCCACATTTAGTTGGGCAGATTCCCAAGAAGTATGGACCTTGATGCTTCGAAAGGAATCACAATATAACCGAAATCATCATATGTTTGATCGCCATCCCACACTTCAACCAAGAATGAGATCCATACTGCTAGATTGGATTATAGAGGTAAATAAAAATGTAAACAGCATAAAAATAACAAGACAAAATGATTGATCATTTACTTGTAAAGAAATAAAAGACATAGATCTTGGGAAATAAATTAAAAAAAAAAAAAAAAAAATCATTTGTAACTTAAAAGAAAAATTTTCTGTCTGAGTTAATCTCTAGAATTGTGTTGTCAGTGCCCTCGGATTATAAATACTAGATGTGTGTCTTCAATTGGCAATGATTGTTACACAAAAAAAAAAAATAAATATGATGTTTCTCTTCTTTCCAGGTTTGTGAAGTATACAGATTACATAGGGAAACCTTCTACCTCAGTGTTGATTTTATTGACCGTTTTCTTAGTACCACAAACAATGTCATGAAACACCAGCTTCAACTCGTAGGAATAACAGCACTCTTCATTGCAGCTAAGTTAGAGGTAAGTTAATAAAAACTGTCATAAATATACATTATTATAAAAACAAACAAACAAACAAAACATTAAAGCGTTGAATATATAAAATATTCACTTATATTTTTGTAGGAAATTTATCCACCTAAGATAGCTGAATTTGCCTATGTCACAGATGGTGCTTGCTCAGAAGCAGAGATATTGGAGCAAGAACTTGTTATTTTAAAGGTATTTTATAGGTCTCTACTGATCTTTCCTTTATTTGTTGACACAATTCAATTGTAATCTGTAATGGATATTTTTTGATAGAACAAGACTTCCAAAAAAAACTTGAACGATTCACGGATTTAAAACAAACTATTTACTAAATATATATATGTCAACTAGTCAAAATAATGTAAAATTTTTGTGCTATAGTCACTGATTTAAAGATATATGCACTTTATTTACAAAATTTATACCACATACATGTCTACTAGTAGTATGCAAAGTCAAAAAAATTGTGTTGGTTTCTTCTTTAGTTTGACTCAGAACCAATGATATCCAAATGTTAATGTCATAACCTTTGTTACATTGAAGGCTTTGAAGTGGGATCTCTCTCCAATGACCATCACAGCTTGGCTGAATGTCTACCTTCAAGTGGCCAACATAGACCACATAGTGGAGGCAGAACATGGATAAATTTTAAATTTTTGTTTTCCCCTAAGTATTCATCACATGTGTTTTGTACGTGTGATTGCAAAAAAAGGGTAAAAGTCAAGCATTTTGGCAAGCATCACAAACTATAAATGAGTTTTGGCACATTAAATCAGTTGGATGACACAATTTTTTTTATCTATTTTAGAATGCTCTGTAAATCATTTTTAGCAAATTTGTGTTACATAATTCTTCAAATGACAGCTGTATGCTGTTATTTCTCATTTCTTTTATCATTATTCGGTGAGAGAAAGCTAAGATTTTGATATGATTAACAGTTGACAGACTTGTGTATACTGGACATTAGCTGTATGGAGTACACTTACAGTCAGTTAGCAGCTGCTGCCCTGTATCATCTTACCTCAAGAGAAATGGTGCTGTCTGTTACTGGTACGTATTGCCATACTATTTCTATAGTGTAAAAAAAAATTGTTTAAAAAATCTTTTGAAAGTCACATTCAATTCGGTCGGGTGACTCTAAAGTTTTGACTGAGGTTTATCCTGATTTGTGCATTGAAAATGATGGTATTCAATGTTTATGCTATTTCATTTGCTAACACACATAAAAACTGCAGCATAAAAAGAGATTTAAAAAATGATTTTTTTTTTTGAAAGTTCAACCTGGTAGATGATGAAATTGTTCACCTGTGTCCAGTAATTGTTTTACCAAAATATAATTTTATTTTTTTTTATGCTTCTGTACAAACTTTTTATTTTCTAAAAATAAAAAAATGCTCTTTAGTTCATATGAACCAAAGAGTCATGTCACGTTTCTGATCAATTTTCCCTCCTCTGTCATGGTCAGTGTAAACTTCAAAAAATTTTACTTTGTTGGATAAAAGTTAACAAATCTTCCGTTGATTACAGGGTATGAGTGGAAAGACTTGGAGCCGTGTGTAGAGTGGATGGCACCGTTTGCTCGGACACACATGGACGAGGGCTCTGTAGAGGTCAAGTTTTTCCCGAGCATACCGGCCGAGGACTCCCATAACATCCAGATTCACTCTGTAGATCTAAACATGCTGGTAAGTTGACTTGATGCACAGTTGTTAGTTTATACTTACCTTGTCATTAAGGTAATAATGCTATCTAAAAAAAAATTGAGAAAGATGCCAGGAATTTGCAAAAGCAGACTTGTGTTTAAAGAAAATTTCAAATACAGAATTTTATGGGAAGTATAATATACCCTTCCAATCTGCACACATGCATTGCAATGAATATTTCTGTTATCATACAAATTTGATAAGTGCTGCAACAGAAAAGTAATGATTTTTCTTTGTGTGTTGTAGGAAAGAGCTCAAGAATTACAGGAAGAAATCCAAACTCTGCTGAGGGCGAGAAGTCCAGACCCCCAAGCTCAAGTCATCACACAGTTAACCCCTCCCCATAGCGGCAACAAGAAGTCGAATACCTCCAAAGATTCCAACACCTCCTTTAGTTCCAGTGAGTTAGATTCTTTCGAGAAAGAATCGGGGGAGTTAAAGTAGGAGTGTATTGTGTACAAGAGAGTAGACTGTATAATTGAGGGATAATTTCAAATTGTGCTATTGTACAGAAATACTAGACAATTATCTCAGGTTAACTTTTGAGTCTTCTGCTGATATATATCTGATGACCTAGAATCCTCAGGAATATACTAGGGAGAAAGTTGTATCTTGTATACTTTACAGCAGAATGAAGGGTATTCTTGTGTAATCTAGTGCTGCGTGTGTTGATTAACATATATTTAATCTGTGTGGTCGATTTCCTATATCGACGTGTGTGGTATTTATTGTTGATACATAGGGTGTGACTGAGTGTATTGTAAACTTATAATCTTAATTTAACAAAACTGTTCTTGCAATATTTTCATGTTTTGTTTATATATTGCACCCATTTTAAAGGGTGGGGTCTGTATAGCTCTTTAGTAGTGGGACCAACAAATTTTACATGCATAAGTTTTCAATTGTACCCATGATTATAGGAACAATGTTTTCCATTCATGTATGGCCACTTTGTGTTCATCTCAATGTTCAAAGAATAAATTTCAGTCAAAATACAATGAATCAAATACATATACTTGATATTATTTACAATATCCCATGTGTTCATGTTGAAATATGGCAATGAAACCACTTGTGTTCACAATTCCACCAAATGTGTTCATTTTTATTAAGGTATGAATGTTAAGTGTGATTGTTAAACAAAATGCAAGAGGAAGAATGGAGATTTTGAGATTTTTATGTTCTAATGTACATGGTATTTGTGCAATTTAAAGTTTCTTTTTAACAGCTGACAAGTCAATTCATTTGTGATTTCCTTTATTGATACTGCTGCAAGTGGGATGACTATGTTTGATTCAAAAACAAATTTGTAAATTGCCTCCTAAACAAATAACTTTTACTAAAAATTGCAAGATACTGGTGTGTGTTAAAATACTGATATTGGATCTGAACTCTGTAAATGAATTGAAACTTATATTGCTAGAGATTTCAGTAGAAAGATAAAGCAAAATATTTTTCAAAATGAAAGAAAAATATGTTATAACAAAGAGGGTTGATGACTACACAAATTGAACCAAATTTTTTCCTTGTTACTTGTTTTTTCTTCTTCTCATGCCTTTTTGTAATGTTGGAACTTTGTGTATTTTTAAGGTTTAGAATCATCTAATGTTTATGAAGATATCATGCATTTTATTTTTCACCTTTTGTTTTACTTTTAAAGAAATCAGAACTTCAGCATAGCATAGGATCACATTTCAATTAACTATATTAACTCTAGAATCAAATCATGTGCTCTTCATAATTCACTATACAATTCATCTGCATATAATGCAAAATTTAATGGGTTTTTATGGGTCTCTGCTTATTTTCCTTGGTGAATCCTCATACTTTATCCATAAAATGGATATGGAAAAAAAATAATCGGGTGCTTTACTACATTGATTATAAACACGGTGAATGGATGTTAGAAGAATTGTTGTGTCCAAAGAAGAATTTCTATGAATATATTTAATAATTTATCCTCAGTAATTTATGATTTATCTGCCACAGATTTAAAGATGTATAATTTAGATTTGATTCATATTAATTTATTTTCTTTTTTTATTTATCTTTTTTTCCTGTATCTGAGAATATATTATCGAAATATATTGTGTACTCTGTACAATGGCAATATACTATATAAATATATGAAATACTTATAGTCATTTGAAAGTCAAAGGATTTATTGACAATCCTTGTCTAAGTATTGTAGTAGCATTTTAAAGTAGATTTAGTTTGAAAACAAATGTACATTACATGAAACTCTACATGATACATCACACATTCTTGTTATCCGAAAAACAGTCATGAGAAATCTGAAGTAATTCAGTTGAACATCTATTATTTTTATATACTCATACTCATCTTGTAAATGTTCATCCTTAACACATTGACGTTTGTTATGGTTAAGTTTTTAAATATTTGACAAAGCAAGTTTTAGTCAAATGTATATTAAAAAAAAGATGCAATAAATGTTGTTGTAAATTACATTTTTGTTTTGGTTTCTCTTTGCAGACACCTCTGAAATATAGCTGAAATATCGCCGACTCGATGTAAAACAACAAAAATCAATCTTTGCAAACTTTTTTTTTTTTTAATTAAATTTATTAATTGCAAATGGATATAAAGAAAGTTTACTATGCTGTCTTCATGTGACATGAAAAGGAAAACTTCAAGGTTTTTTAAAATTTGAATTCATGCAGGTTCAGATCAGAGGTGCAGTGGATTTTGCACTTTGAGGGGACAATTTTTCTATATCCACTTTACAATTATTGCTGTTTTGAGGTCAAAACCATGAAACTTTGCCATCTTGCATGGTAGTCTTACTCGAATGCAATGAGAAAAGCAGGATTTGAGTGGACTTATTAATACTTGAATTAATTTTGAATTTCATCCATTTTTTGGCATTTTGCGGATAATGTTGCCTTTGCCTGAAAGTTGGGTGCAGGTGAAATCAATTTAGAAGCTTAGTGCAATGTAGTATACGTTTTGTGCTAATGAACATATCTTAAAATGAATTTTACAAAACTGGATCTCAAGAAGGCAGAGCGTAGGAACTTAAAAAATCAATCGGGTATTGAGTCGAATATTCGGGTATTCAATCATTGGATGTTGTTATTAACGTCCCATATACCTAGACAAAGATTTTTTGTATGGTTTATACACTGCATGATTATGCAAGCCCAGTACTTTGCCAGGAAAAGAAGGAAAGTCCTTAACAGTTTTTCTTCTTTTGCAGAGAGACATGTTACGAGATTACAAGTAGCAACCATTTCATATGATGATCTTTTACAATGAGGGTAAAAGATTAAGCCCACTTGCTATTAACTTTTAAATATCAAAAGTATATACAATGTACTAAATCTATTTCTATATCTGTGAAATGGGAGAGTTTAGCCTCCAAGTTTCTTCCTCAGAATTTAGTGAAGTTTAATTATCTCCTTGATTTTTGAAAGTAATAAATATTGTGTACATTGACAAAACGCGAGAATTTTGAACATCAAAATTATAACTTCTTCACATTTCATGAATTTAATATTCGCATTACTGACGGCCAAATGTAAATGGGTTTAAAACAAGCTTCAAGTAGAACGCACCGGAGTAGCATTCAAAATTTACTACATTTTACAATGATATTTTTAAGGGGGAGGGGGTAAGGAATAAAAGAGAGAAAATAAGGAGATGTTTAATGAGGTGTCACAGCTATAAACAACATGTAAAATTTGTTATCTTGTTTTGGGGATTGTAGAACACCACGCGGTGTTTTAGATGTATGTATTTCATCAAGATAAGTCAACTTTATGCATGATTAATCTTTTCCTTTGTTACTTATACCCTTGAGATAAAAGACTAGATAAGATCGTTGTCTCCTTGGAAAGAACTAGTTTAACTTTTGATTCAGCAATGTATTTTCTAGAGGGCAGGTTGAGGGTGAAAAAACCGGATTTGCCACTCTAGTTGCAGTGTTTTCTTGGGGTGATGCTTGTTAAATATGACATTTCAGGAAGTCATAATTTATAATTGACATGCAATTTCCTTGCATTTGGCAAGACATTGAGTGTTCAATTACATGAACATTCACAGTCGGAAAGTCTTCAAGATACGATAACTACTAAATATGTGTCAGATTTAGAGAACTTATCTTTCTTATGTAATACATTATAATTTACCATCCCATGTGTCCCTTCTTATTGCTCAGTGTCACACATCTTTGGTATAAGTGTGTTAATAAATCCCTGTACATGCGTATGTCTCATTTATTTATTAAATTTGGTGTGCTGCAAGGTTGATCATTATACCCTGTCTTAATAATGCATTTCATAAAATCTCCATCCTTAAAAATTAAGGGAAACAGAGAACATTTTAAAACATCTAAATATCATATTATTTTAATAATTAAGATAAGACCGAGGACATACTTGAATGGTTATACAAACACTTGGAATATTGGATTAGACTGATCATACACATGTGAACATTTCCTGTCAGAATTCGCAGGGGATATCTTTGACATTGCTCACTCTCTTTCCCCATGTGTTTTTCTTGTCACAACCCGATTAGCACCTTAATCGCAAGTATTACAAGAGGCCATAAGATCGTCTGTGTAAGTTTATGTGCCTATTAAATACTTATAATAAATACTGCTCATTTTAGCTCCTTCCTGCGAGTCCATATTGACATCTGTAAGTAAATCAGTTCATACATGTGGCAATTATATGTGAGACAATTTTAATCAATATGTAAATTGCCCTCTTGAGAGAAATTCCCTTAGATTTGCTGTTTAACGTCATTGGATTTAGCTGTCAAAGAATGCAATAAAATGAAAGCATATCATACGCAATACCCATATTTCTACAAAATATTTGCATTTACTTTAAGACATGCATTGATCTGATGACTTTTGACGTGAGAATTAATATTTAATTAAAGGGACATGGACACACTTTAAACAGATTTTTTAAAAACCAATTTTAATGTTTACAATTCCTAATTAACGTAATTGATATAATCAGCAAAAAATTGAACACCATTTGTTGATTTACATTTAGGATATGTATACATGTACAGGACTAGCATTACAATTCTTCAAAATGTAAACAAGGCTCGTGCATCGTTTTTGTTTACATAAAGAAAACATATTTCTAACAAAACGACATTCAACAAATAACTAGAAACTGTCTAGTGGTATTTAGAATTAACTTCCTTATTGAAAAAATCTGCTTTGAACGAACATATATTTGTATATTAAACCTAAGCAAACAAGAAGATAGCACGGGCCTTGTTTACATAACAAAGGTTTGGAGCTCTAAATCCATCTTGTATATTAAAATTCAAAAAACTTTAGTAAACAAAAAAAAAAACTGTGAGCATTCAATTAATGATTTTCAAAAAAAACCTTAAAGCAATGTTTTCATCTTTATTTGTTGACAATTTTCATAAATTATGGACATAAAACATATTTTTATTCCATTAAATCAAGTTGGATACATGTTCAATATATAAAAATTATTCAAATTTTAAACTTTTTATATAAAGTAAAATTAAAAAGAAGGCTATGTAAAAGTCTTCAATTTTGATTAATGGAGATTTTCTGCCAAATTACATTTTGAATGCACATTCAGCAATAAAACAAACACGGGTGTAATTTGTTTACATGAATAAATATTATGTTAACGGCAATTAATTTGTAATCATCTCGTTTCATAAAATCATCAATGTACACGTATCATTTATAATCCTGGACATGTAATCGATTTTCAAAGAACACCGGTAGTTTATATCTCATCCTGCCGAGTTTGATCGTGATTGATTAAAGAACTACTGCTTGTGCAGTGATAATTCCATTAGATATTGTGATGTTTGTGTTACTAATAAGTGACGGGGGCATTATCTACAATGAATGACCCCCGACAGTGGGTCTATAAAAGTGTTTGTCCACCAGGGGCATTTTTACACCTTCAACTTTTTGTCAGTCAAAAGGTGTATATTTTCCAACTCGCTATAGTTGTGGGTTTTGAGTATTCTAAGCAATTCGCACCTTTTTGCAAAGAACAAAATTAGCTAGCGTTGATAATGATATATTTCGTAACAATGTTTATACGATAATCATTGGGGTTTTCTTACTTTCAATTACATTAAATTCATTGAATTTATTCTCCCTTCTAGCACAATCAATAATAACGCATTAAATGTGCATGCTTGTAAGGAAAAAAAATCAAATATCAAAAATCAAATGTGCATGCTTGTAAGAAAAAGAAAAAGAAATCAACATTTTTAGAGCAAATTAAGGGATACGACTGGGGTTTCATATGCGGAACTTCGCGCTTTTGTCCGCATGTAAACACAGGTACTTGTGGACAGGAAACCCCCCCCCCCCCCCGATATTCAACCCCGGGGCTTATTGGACTTTTTTTCACAAATTTTATTTATTACATTTATTCATCATGTGTACAAGATGAAAAAATCGTCAAAACTCCAAAATAATCGCTTCAAAAAAAAAAATACCCCACTACTAGTATATACATTATAAGAGAGAAAGTCTCTCTTATAATGTACAGAGGGGTATTTTTTTTTGTGAAGCAATTATTTTGGGGTTTTGACGATTTTTTCATCTTGTACACATGATGAATATGTGTAATAATTAAATTTGTGAAAAAAAATTCCAACCTCGCGAACACACCGTGGACTCATCGCGGAACCCCCACAGGTACTAACCGTGCAAAAGTGACAGTGATACAGACACTAGAACCGGTACACAAAAAATTCCGTTATAATGGTCCAGTTTCTTCCACATACTAGGACAACGCCGGAGGCCAGACAGAAAATAATGAAATAAAGTTTTTATCATTAAATGTTTGTGGTGTAAATAGAAGACTTCAGTATACGGAATTTAATGATCTTATTTCTTCTTATGATATAATTGGTTTAACTGAAACTAAAACAGACGACACTGATAATTTGCAAATACCTGGATTTTCTATTACTTTTTTAAAAAACAGATGTAAATTATCAAGAGTAAAATCAGGTGGCATTGCTTTATTAATTAGAGATTCCATTGTCAAGTATATCAAAATAATCAACACAGATTGTAAGTATGTATTATGGTTCAAATGTAATAGATCGCTATTTCATCTCGAGGAGGACATTTATTTTGGTATTGTATATATCCCTCCAGAAAATAGCAAGTATTCATCCCCAGATTGTTTTATTGAAATAGAACAAGAGCTCATGTCTATATCCAAAGATTGTAAATATGTTTGTTTGCTGGGGGATTTGAATTCCAGAGTGGGCAAATTGAATGACTTTATTATAACAGATGAATTTTTAACAAATGTTAAACAGTGGAATTCTGGCGTTGATAATAACGATATTGAAACGTTTTTTGATAATGTAAACATTCCTCTTGACAGGACTGTAAAAGATTTTTCAAATAATAACTTCGGTTATAAGATGATAGATTTTTGTATAAATAATAATGTGTATATTGTCA